ATCCCCAAATGGTTTGGGTTGGAAGGGACCTAAAAGTTCATCCAGTCCCAGCCATTGTCATGAGCAGGGACACCTTCCACTATCCCAGGTTGCTCCAAGCCCCATCCAGTCTGGCCTGGGACACTTCCAGGAATGGGGCAGCCCAGCTTCTCTGGGCAACCTGTGCCAGGACCTCACCACCCTCACAGGGAAGAATTTCCTCTGTAAATTTAATTATAAAATACTTTTAAAAAGTAATTTTAATTGTTCACGGGCCATTTCTAGGGAAGCAAAGTAAAGGAGGCTTGTAGATAAAAGACATAATATGAACAGAAGTAGGAGTCATATAATCTGGAAAGAACCTGTCTGTGTTAGTACTCGTTAGGGAGCTTTTGGGCACACAGCATGGTCTGTGTGGCCTGGTAAAATACCCACCCTGAATATCCCATCTGGGAGTCTGTGCTTTATGACATGCGAGCTCAGAGTGCTCTTCAAAATGTCAGCACCTCTCCATTCCCAAAGGCATCATGTGGTGCCTGGCTCCCTGGAGGATGGGAGCCTCCAGCTGTGTGGGTAATGCTGCCTTTCCTCACCATCTCTTCAGAGCCCCTTATTTTTCCTCCTCTTCTTCGTTTTCCTCCTCCTTTTAATGGCATGGTGAGCCAGAGGTTCCTGTTTTAAGCAGCAGAACATTGTATTTCATTAACTCCATTACACACTTGGTTTAATTTCCAATTAGCCTGGGATGGGAGGAAAAATAATCCGATTGCTCCGACCGGTTGGCGTTCTGGATGTGCCGAGCTTCCCTCTGTCCCCCCACCCCCTGCAAAGCTTTTCCTGTGTGGGTTGACAGGCAGACACGCAGGTTTTCACCCACCCCCTTTCCTCCTTGCTAATGTATTTTATACCATTTGCTCTGAAGCTGAAGGTTTGAGCTGCCAGAAGGAATAACTGGCAAATCAGTGTTCCTACCTCTGCAGCTTTCCGTGGGGTCGGATCTGGTCTCTCCGGCTGCGGAGGGAGTTCTGTCTGTAGGTGGATTTAAAAACGTTGGGTTCTTGTGAAAGCTGTAATGTAGTTCTAAGTGCAGGGTTGGGGGGTTTTTTGGGGGGCTTTTTCTGTTTTTTTTTTTTGTTTTGTTTTTATTTTAATAAGAGTCTGTGAGATTTAGCTATCCTCATCCCAATGACGCTTCTCCACGAGTCTAAATTTATTGGGAAATTCCAGCCAAAAGCAGGTTTATTGTCATCGGGCTCATCTGTGCTCCAAAGGGATGTTGCTGTGGCTGCATTTGAATAACGTTGAAATGTAGCCAGGGTGAACTGATTTACATCAGCAAGCCAGGGACCTGTTATTATTAATAATTATGATTAATTCTTCCATCTCCTTTACATTTTTATTTTTCAGGTGATTTTTAGGTGGGTCCTCACTGGTTAGTAGCTCTTAGCTTAAAGGTGGTATCCTTAATTGTGAGTCAAGTGAGGCATTTTGCTGTGGAGTTAACTTAGAAGTTTAAGCTCTTAAAAGCTTTTCCTATTCATTAGTTGTTTGGGCTCACATATCTGTGGCTACTCAGGCGACCACAGTTTTTTCATTATTTTTGAGGACTAAAGGCTATGATAAATGTTAGTTTCTTGTCCTTTTAGTTTCCTCCTAATCTATGGATTAATTATACAACTCCTGGTTGGTTTCTCATCACAATCAACTTGGTGCATGTTTTGAAAAGCAGAGAATACTTAGTTTTCTAAAAAAACTTGGCTTTTTTTTTCGTCAGCCTGTGAAACTTGTCCAGTTCCATGGAGCACTTTGTCCTGTACCACGTGTAAAGCTTTAGCTTTACTTTTTTATGTCCCCCAGCAAGTCCATCATTGCTGTTTATTTTCAAGGGAAAATAACCAACTTGCATAAGTTACCACTTTGTACCTTGCTCTTGCTGTTCAGCACAGTTGGACTTCACCATCTTGTGTTGCTGTGTTGAGGAAGAAGCATCAGCTGAGTTGAAGGTTTAAAACTCAACTTTGATGTTGTAGGTTTTCTTTGGCCAAAACATCTTTCTAAATATTTCTAGTGACACTTCCATGACTGCCAAAGTATGTTGTAGATTATTAGGTGATATAACAGTGGAATTGGTGTGAATGGTTCTTGATGGACTCCTTTCCATACCTGAGTGGGAGCTGTTAGAGGGCAGTGCTTCAGTCTTTGTTGACCTGCCCTCTCCCTTGGCTAGAGCTGTTGGCAGCGTGGTTGTTGTGGGCTGGGATGGAACCATGCAGTGCCAGCTTGTGTTGCTCTGTGTTCCTGCCTCCCAGCAAAGCCCAGTGGCAGTGCCAAGGAAGAGGTGAGCGTGTGTGCTTGAACCAGTGTTTGTGTTGGACGGGGTCCTGAAATCTGTTTTCATTTCAGCTGTGCTGTGGCTGTGCAAAAAGCCTTGGAGATGCTAATTATTTTTGTTGGCATACCATAACCTATCAATATGTTCGGTGCAAATCGCCAGGGAGTCCTTTTTTATTTTTTAATCAATGTTGCTTAAAGTTTGAAGACATTCCCCAACCCTTCTCTTATCCCATTTTGCTTCATTTATCTTCTTGTCACTGAGTTGACAGCAGTTCTGTTTTGCTGAGGTAGGAGGTGAGGACCAGCTCTAATTGTGGACTATGGATTGCAGATCCCAGCTCCTCTGGCAGAGCTGAGCTGCCACCAGATGTTGCACAGCCCCTTCCAGTCCTTCTTTTATAACCCCCAAGGACATGACAGCCCGTGCTCCAAAGTGCTTCTTGCCATCTGACACTCTCTCTCATGGATGCTTTTAATGGAAATCTGAGTGGATTGCCATGTGATGTCCCAGCTTTGATTTGGACACTTGCAGTTATGCTGGCATGTTAATTCCTAAAAAAAAAAAGCCCAGAAGGATCCTAAGGGCAAGACCTCATTGTCAGCCGGGTGTCCAGGTTGGAGCTGCTGTGCACCAGGCCCATGGGAACAGCATTTCTGTGCATCCTTTGCCCCTGGAAAACACAGGGATAGCCTGCATGGACTCTGCAGGGAAAGCAACATAAATACAGCTGCCTTGACTTGTACTTGCCCCAGGGTTTAGGATATCCTAGAAGTGTTCAAAAACATCTGGATATGGCACTTCGGGGACATGGTTTAGTGGTGGACTTGGCAGTGCTGGGTTAACAGTTGAATTCAATGATCTTGGAGGTCTTCTCCAACATTAACAGTTCTATGATTCTATATTAATTACTAATTTATCAGTTACTGCAACAAAAGTAGTGCCTGGCAGTGTGAGTGCATTTGCCAGAGCTCAGCCTTGTTCCTTAGTATGACTGACAGGTCCCTTTTTGCAATGCTTTGGCTCTGAAAATTTTTTTTGTTACTTCAAAATTATTTTCCATAGTAGTTTCATTTTATAAGTACTTTTTCTTTAGGATTTTGAACTTTTTCAGTTGCTTTTATGATTTGTCTTCACTTGTGAACTTCCAAAATGCAGTGAAATTAATACAGTCTTTTCCTTCACTTTTATGCTGTGTCACATTAACCATTCAGGAATTAGGCAAATTAAATAATAAGAAGAATAAGCAGCATATCTTAATAAATTACTAATTAAAACAGAACAAGAAGACAGCAGTTCTGATTACTAATGATTTGGGTGACAGAAGGCTCATTCAGCTAATGAAATTCATAAAATCTTGGATCAAAATCCTATCTCTGACCTCTAGGTGTGAAATGCAAAACAATCATCATTACTGTGCTTGTGCAATGACTTTGGAATATATTGGTTTAATGACAAGCAGTGATGGGAACAAGGCAGAGAAACTTCTGGTCGTGCTGTTCTTGTTTTCATTGTACTGCATCAAAAGCATCTTTAGTCATCCAAACAGTCAGATGATTTTAGATAAGATGTTTCTTTGCCTTAATCCCATAGAAAATAATGCTATAAATCTTCATTTGAGCCAGTATTTACTGTGAGTTGGGCTGGACATGATGTACATTGTAAAATGTCCTGAAAATGCCTTTTTATAGGGTACTTCAGTTTTGTGTGTCAAACTCAGCATAAATCCCTCTTCTAGTTAGTTAAACAAATAAGACTTCAGTCTCATCTGCAAATTGTCTATTTTTGTCTCTATATTCTGCAACTCTTCTATTTTAGAAATCTTCACATGGAGTCTGTTAGAATAACTGCTGAATTTGAATATGGAACTAAGAATCAGAAATTTGTGCTGCACTCCCACTTCTCGTTCTTGCCCAGCTGGACCCTGAACCTCCTCTGTGATCCTTTAATCTGTGCTTAGAAAAGAAAAGACCTTATATAGTCCTAAATGTAGGAGGAATATTTTCAGGGATGAGTTGTGCTGGGGTCCTTGCTTTAACATGACTCTGTAAAGCAAATGGACGCTATGGAGACTGCTTGGAATTGAAATGTGTTATTAAAAATTTAGCAGGAGTTGTCCATTTTAGGGAAATGGTGTGTTTGTTTTCAAACTGGGTGACCTGACAGCGCTGCTGCAGAGCTGGAGGCTGCCAAGCACCTGACAGCTCATTTCTGGATATCCTTAAGCCATGTGCCGTTGGGCTGCCAAGGGGAAATTAGGCAAGAGGCAGAACATTCCTGAATAAGTAGGGCACTTGGAGATTTTGAGACCTTGACTGTATCAGCTGAGCATCTCCTGGAACTGGAAGGGAGATGATGCCTGCTTGAAGCAAACCAGGGTGGGGAGATCTGGAGCTGAAGGAAGGCAAGATGTTCTTGTTCCCTGTGGATGCCACCTCTAGGTCCTTCCAGAGCGAAGTCTCTTGTGAAGTCCCAGGCCCCTGCTCCTCCCAGTCAAGCTTTGGGCTCTCCAGGTTGGTTGTGAGGTCCTGGAAGGGTGGGATAACTGATGTAGTGGCTGCTGCTGAGCAGCTGACAACACACCTGCTATCAGCTGATAGATCTCCACGTTTGGTGTGTAACCTGTGCCCATCCCAAGTCAAGCTCCTGATGTCCTGCTAACAAGGAACTCATCTTGTCTCTTCCCCAGGTGGTGGCAAACGCTGTGGCTGCCCTGTCAGAAATCAGTGAATCTCATCCCAACAGCAACCTGCTGGATTTGAACCCTCAGAACATCAACAAGCTGCTGACAGCTTTAAATGAGTGCACAGAGTGGGGGCAGATCTTCATCCTGGACTGTCTGTCCAACTACAACCCCAAGGATGACCGGGAAGCTCAGAGGTAGGGTAGTTATTCAGGAGCAGGGCACTTGTGGGAGGTGTTGCAGCACTGAACTAACAGGGGTTCTGAGGTCTGTGGCAGCACAAATAAGACTTGATAAAAGAGGTTTAAAAGGGAGGCTGCTTTTGGTAGTTTGGGCTTATGCTGGAAACCTGCCCCTTCCCTCAGCAGAACCACTTTCTCTGTTTAGCTTTAGTGTTCCTTTTAACTTTTTTCTATTTAAAAGGCTGGTTCTTGTGGGAACTGGCACTGCTAAGAAGGGATCAGCCCAAGACCAAACCTGTAACAGTGGAAGCACTGTTTGGAGGATTTTCTGATTTAAAGCAGAACTTTCATATCTGGTTTTGCTGCTTTGAGAGGCAAAAAGCCTTTATAGGTTTGCAGCTTTCCAAAGTACTAAAAGTCTGAGACCAGAATACTTTTTTCCAACTGAAAACTGGATTGTGATATGAGAGAAGTGAAAGTAAAGGTAAGAAATTATTTTTTCTTATCACTGCAAATTCACCCTTGTACTTTTACTTTTAGCTGCAGTGACTAAACCTGAATACAAGGACCTCAGGTTTTAGGTAGTGGAATTTTAATTTGTGCACTTCAAGCCGCCTCCTCATCTGTCTTCAGAATCACAAAAAGTCAGATTGTGTTCCCAAGAGAACAAGGAACCAGCAAGAGAAATAACTTGGAACAGGGGGATTCTCAGACAATGTATTTTGTGAGGATGATGTGGGGGGTGGAGAGGGAGGAAGGGTCCCAAGCCCACATGCAAAATCCTGGACAGGATTCCATGGGTTTCTTCACTGACTGGTTTTTTGAGGTACAATAGGTAATCCATTGTTTCTGAAAAGCCTACCAGGAGTCTTGCTGATTTCTTTTTTTCCCCACCTCCTTTCCCCTTGTGTTTTGTTTCTGTGCCAGAAACAGCTCCTAATGAGTGCTAGAAACCTGCAGAGATCTCCAGGGTGTGAGGCTGGTATTATCCCAGCTCTGTCAGAGAGGCACCACCAGTCTGAACAGCTGTGAACACGTCCCACTTCCTCACCTGTAATTCCTCTGAAGAGTGGTTTATCAAACTGCAAGGGCAGGAACTACTTTTACTGCTTTGTGTGGAGTTTCTCTCAGAGTTTGCCTTATTTCAGACAGGAGACTGACAGCACTGGGTTTTATATAATGTTCTTTCCAGGAAGGCTGGTGTCAGTGCCCTGTGCCTGGAGAAAGTGAGGCTCAGAGAGATGAAGCAGCTTTGACATGCAGGTGACCTTGGGCAGAGGCAGCTGGAGGCTGCCCCAGCTCTGACTTGGACTCCTCTGCTCTTCACTGAGCTTCCCTTCCTGCATGGCTGAAAGCAAATCTTTGAGGGAAAGAAGCTTCAGGAGGCACAGATGGGAATAAGATTGTTCTGGGTTCGCAGTATGCAGGAGGGAGTGGGAAGAAACTTGACAGATGCTGTAAGAAAGACCATATGAACCCAAACTTCCTTTCTGCTTGGGATGGATTGTTTAGGATGCTGTTGATTACAGGACCCATTATGGTGGATCTGAGACTTGGGAAGGTATTTAGGTCCTTCTTTCCCTGAGTCTTTAGAGAATCAGAAGTCTTTTTTTGTAGGTAGAAATGGTTGAAATGGCAGCAAGCTCCCCAGGCAAGCCAGAAGCGTGTATCACCTCTGAATTACTATATGGAGGCTACAGTGTTTTTCCAATAGCTGTTTTGTTAAAGTTATGTTTGTAAGTGACAGACAAGATCACAGAAATAGAGAACACCACCAGGCAAAGGCAGGAAGCACTAATAACTGAGTATGTTTTGGCACTGTAATGCTGAGAGCTGGAATTTTTCCTGAGCTGAGTGTGGCAGGAGAGAAACTCGAAGCTGTGAGAGAGGTCCTTGTTTGCTTCCTGCTGCGTTCGAGAAAGCAGGACTTCGCCTGTTCTCCGTAACAAAACCAAATCAAAGCAGCACCTGAGAAGGTGTCTTGAGCCATGTGCAATCTCCTGAAATCAGATCTGAAACATCTGACACCCTGAAACACATGTGAACCCTTTCCTCCTCCTCTGTCCCCAGTATCTGTGAGCGGGTGACCCCCCGGCTGTCTCACGCCAACTCGGCCGTGGTGCTGTCAGCGGTGAAGGTCCTGATGAAGTTCCTGGAGCTTCTTCCCAAGGACTCTGACTATTACAACATGCTGCTGAAGAAACTTGCCCCTCCACTGGTGACCCTGCTGTCTGGAGAGCCCGAAGTCCAGTATGTTGCCCTGAGGAACATCAACTTGATTGTGCAGAAAAGGTAAAGGCTCGGGGGTGTTATTCCGGCGTTGTCAAAGGGCATCTGGTTATCTCAGACATTTCCACATGCACAGAGTCTCTTTTAATCCAGGATCAGGTCCCTTGAGAGACACATTAGACAGTCTTGTGACTCTGGTAGCCTGAATTAATTTTCCTGACAGCATGCTTGTGATACCAGTTTCATACAGCATTTCTTCACCTGCCTCTCTTCACTGCCTTTTTATGAGCACTCAGAACTGCCCTCCATAAATCAGATGGCAAATAGGAATGAGGGTGTAACTGTGCAGTTCACAGTGACCTGCAGGAACTCAGTGTGTCTGTGCTGTTCTGTTCAGCACAGAACCACCAGGCTGGTGACATCCTGGTGTCCAGTGGGTTAGTTTTTTCATTTGTTTACTCCTGTGTGCATGTGTCAATGCTGTTGTTCCTTGCTGGAAAGGTGGGATAGCTTGGATAGCACTTTGTGATTGTGTTCAGGGCAAAGTTACTGTGCAATGGCATCTTGCAAGTGAAAGTAGAAATTAATTTTTAGGTGAATTTGTAGGGTTTTTTAAATTTGGAAACAGTCATCCACTACATGCCTGTTGGCTCAGCATCTGAAGTGGAGGAAGTAGAGATGTAGCCATAGAAAGACTTGAATTCCGCATTTTGTATTTAAACTGTGTCTTTATCCAGCCTTCTTTCTCTAAATGGTTGATTGCTTGCATGTTCTGGACACAAAATCACTGAATCATAGAAGGGTTTGGGTTTGAAGGAACCTCAGAGATCATTTAGTTCCAAACCCCCTTGCAGGTTTTAACCTCCCTGTGGGTAGGGACACTTTCCACTAGACCAGGTTACTCAGAGCCCTGTCCAGCCTGGTCTTGAACACCTTCAGGGATGGGGAGTCCACAACCTCTCTGGGCAACCTGGGCAAAATGACACCATTCTGTTTCTCAACGAATATTTGGGTAGATTTCTAAAGAAAGGATGCATTTGGTTACCAAAAAAAGAGCCCATTTGGGTTTTTAAACAGTCTTGAGTGTGACAGAACGTTATGTTCCCTCCAGGCCTGAAATCCTGAAGCAGGAAATCAAGGTGTTCTTTGTGAAGTACAACGACCCCATCTATGTCAAACTGGAGAAACTGGACATCATGATCCGCCTGGCTTCTCAAGCAAACATTGCCCAGGTCAGCTGAGGGACTTCTCATGTGTTCTGGGAGGGGGAAACCCTCTCCTGGGCTATGCCTGAGGATGTATGCAGGGTACTACTACAGTTGTCTTGGTTTTTAAGCATCACTGTTCCTGGTACAGTGCTCTTTGCAGCTATTTAATAGGAGGTGTTGGAGTTTCCTCCATAATTTAAATGTTAATGGCATGGTGTGTCTTGCATCGTGACCGTTAGGTAGATCTTGTTTCACAGATTACAATTCCAGGAGGAGAGCTGATGGTTCCTGTCAAATGAGTCACTGCTGGTGCTGAGGTTGGAATGAGAGGCTTGTTTCAAGTGAGGGGGGTGTGCCTGCAACAGAGGCATTCAGAAAGGCCAAACATTATTGAAGTGTGAATTTCAAGTTAGTAAAATTGTTAAATGCTTGCACAGGCTAAAAAACCCTTTCTTCTGCTTAACTTGCTTCCAGAGTGGAAATAGCATGAAGCTACACTGAATTGAGGCTGCTTTACAGTGTAGATTCTTGTTGTATTTGATTTCTTTGGAGGAAGTGTTCTCGAGTGCATTCCTGGCCACAAGGCCTAACACTAATGCAGAATGATTAATGCCTCTGGTTACTGCTATTATTGTCCTCTCATAATTGTCACAGAGCAATTTCATGTAATGTGACATTTTTAAGCAGCTCTCTTCAGCTCTCTCCTGATGTTTTTTGGAACAGAGCAAGGTAATTCATGCCCCTTTTGTGCTGGGGACACGGAAAACATTTTAAAAATCAGTTTCCCTGAGAATATATGCAGAATTTTCTCTTTACTCTTGGTAGGCTCCGTCCCAATTTTAATGCATAATGTTCCAATAATGGGCTGTTTGCGGGAAAGGCAGTGGTGTCTGGAGGGCAGAGTCTGGGATCTGCAGACTAATGAATGAATCTCTTCCTGGTTCTGAAAAGAAATAAAACAACACAACTACATCAGGAATGTGTGCTGGAATGAGACCTGAGCAGAGCAGCTTCTGCCCACACCCTCCCTGTGCAGCTTGGGGAGACTCTCCATCTCCATGCACATGCTGGAAAGGCAGCAGGATAGCTCTGGCCAAGGCACTTGGGCAGTGTTTGGAAAGCATCAGCTGCTAAACCCGGGTGCTCCCAGTGCTGTGCAACATAGATCATGCAGGGCAATAATAAAACTTCAAAACACAGATGTCCCGTCTCCTCCTTGCAGATTTATTTGTCTGCAGTCTGGCCCTTCACGGCCTCTTTATCTTGTCATTGTTCTGAGCAATGTGCCTTCCATGAGAGGTTTTTGAAAGAACTGTCTGGCTTTGTGCTGCTCACCTCTCCCTCACCATCTATTTGTGACATCACGATTAAATCCCTGATGTCATGTTTGGCATGAGAAACTGAAATAAATTGAGCTTTTGAGGGAATATAAATGACATATGGTCTTTTATTAAAATTGTTTTTTCTAAGCTAAGTGATTTGTTTAAGACAAAGTAGTTTTTTAGTTTAAGATCTGTAGGTTCCCAGCAGGTCCTGGTTTAAGCCCTTCTTCAGTTTCCATTAGCAAAAACATTGAGACAAAATAATAAATTTTATTTTTAAGAGGGGAAGTATCTTTGCACTGTTATTAATCTCAGTGTAGATGTTCCAGGGTGTCCTCAGATCTCCTCTGCACCTTCTGTTTGCATTCAGTAGGGATCCAAACGTTCATCTCGGCACAGAAAAGGAGAGATCAAAAACAGTTGTTGCCAAGAGCTTTGCATACAGTGAACGTGCTTTCAGTGCAAGAAGGAATAGCAACATTTATGTTTGGCAGGGCTGATTTTCCCCCAGCTTTTGTTCAGGGGATTTTGAAAATAACCCAAGACAGAGCCACGTTTTGGCTTTGTCCAGGCTAAACCAAGTGTGGTCCAGACCGGCGGGTTTCGGAGGTGGAGGTTGGTTGTGGAGTTTGACTGTGTGAGCTCTGTGTGGTAGCTGTGGAAGAACATCCTGCTGGTGTTGTGGTGTTCAGTGGGATGTTCTCTGAGTGACCCAGGGACTCAGCTGGTGTCCTGCCTCCTCAGGTCCTGGCAGAGCTCAAGGAATACGCGACCGAGGTGGACGTTGACTTCGTGCGCAAGGCCGTGCGAGCCATCGGGCGCTGTGCCATCAAGGTCGAGGCAAGTATCTGAGTCCTGAGCTTTTCTGTGATCCTCTGCCTTCAGAAACAGTGATGGGCTTTACCCATCACCTCATTACACCAAGCTTCTTTGCTTCACTGTTGGCCATCAAGTGGCCTGGATACGTCATGGATATGGGCAGAGCAGCAGCTGATCCAGAGGGCTTGTGAGCTGTGAGTGCATCACAGGAGGGTGGGCTGCTCCTCTCAGATCTCAGCTTGCAGGCACAGCAAGGCAGATAATTCAGTCCTGGTGGAATATTTTACTGCACTGGCTTCAGTGGAAAAAATGACCACTTGTCCATGAGGATGTCCCTTAATAGCTGTGGACTGACCTTTTGAAGGCGGAAGGAGAAAAGATTGTGCAGAGAAACTCTATTATGAAACATTTTGTGTCATTCATCCCCCCTATTTCAGCTGAACAGAACACACAGGCATAGAATTACAGAGAATTGGGACATTAAGTGCAATTTATTCAAACACAGAATGACTCTATTTGCTTACTTAGGTCCGTATAACTTGTGGTTTCACTCGGAGTGTGCTCTCTTTGCCCTCGATGCTTATGCAGATAAGTTCCCAGAAACCTCTGCAGTTCTCCAAAACAAGTCTGAAATGTCCTCTGCCAGTGGAACATCCACAGAAATGCTCATAATAAAATATTTTTTTAGTGCTCTCTCCCCTTCATTTCCCTGTAAGTGAATCTGAAACACCTGACAGGAGCTCAGAAATCCTGTGAAGAGAGGGAAGACTTATGCTTTGGTGTTGGTACTTTTCAGTAAACTGATGACTGAGTGCAAAATGTCACATAAGTGGTCTAATTTCAGCTGAGCTCATTTAGCTTTTGCTAAAGTGTGTTCCCCTGAGCTTTGCCTGACAGCAGATTTAAATAATAACCCCGATCGTGCCTGGCTTAGTGTGGTGTCAGTGCACAGGTTTCTCTTGTTCCAGCTAAACTACTGTAAGTCTGTGTACAGAGGACACAGAGAGAATCAACTGCCTGTGCAGCCTTTTCTTCCTTCAGCTCTTAAAGGCTTGTCCCTGCCATGGGCTTTCTTTGAAGCCCCATTGAGCAGGTGACTGCTGTTTCTGTTTCATGTCTGCAGTTCAAAATACCAAAGTGTTCCTCCCGTGCTGCGTCCAGGCGGGAGGTTGTCTGGATGGAGCCACAGCAGTGACAGGAGAAAATCCCCCTGAGAATGGGAAAGGGCTACAGAGAAGTTAAAAGAAGCTGGTGACAGCCCTTTTCGTAGCTGTGCTGTGCTGGGGGGGTGGGAGTTTGCTTTAGTTCTCAGCAGGGACTTCCTCACTAGGATTTGGCCGTGTGTCTGTCCTAGTTTCACATGGGGAGGGTGGTGTATTCCTGAAGTATCAAGGTGTTTTTAGAGGTCTTTACCCTTTCCCTGTCCCTGATACCACAACAGGCATGCAAAGGACTAATAGTAACATCCAGCACATTCACAGTGACCCTCAAACTGGAATTGTGTCCCTCCATAAGTAGTGTTAACCTTGATTTTTAGCACTGCTCCATGAAGATGCTGCTGCTGAAGATGAGGTCTGCTTCCTGCTCTGACAAGAGCCAGATTTAAAGAGGGCAAATATAGAACAACTCATTACAGTGTCCTCATCTCCAGGTTAATCCCTGTCCCCAGTGCATCTGTGTTTACTAGAGGCTGTTTTCTCTGTGAGTTATGACTAATAGAAGAGCATCCTCAGCCATCAGTGTCCAAGTTCCCAAGGCTTAGAAATCTGCTTCTTGACACAGGACACAGCCGGTGGGAGCTGTTGATGAATGAGCATTCACAGAGCATTTCAGCTCTGCCTTCAAGGATCCTACCTTTTGTCTAACTGTCTCTCCTAGGAGGGGAAGACAGTAAATAATTTTGTCTGCCCTGAGGTGCTCTGTAGAGGAAATGTGGTGTTGCCCTTGCTGGCAGTGCTCATTTTGGGTGTGGAACTGATACCCATGTTGAGTAGTAAGGCTGATGGACTTTGCCCAGGCTTGAGCAATCATTTTGGTTTGGGGAGTGCCAGAATATCATCATTTTGCATGGATAGGGCTGGACTGTTGATAGCTGGGCTCAGAGTTAGCTTGGGTGTGTCTGCAGCAAACCATGTGGTGTAGCTGCACTTGGATCCCTTGTGCATCAGTTTGCTCCTCTCACAGCACTAGATGAAGTCATCATGCCATGCTTAGATTGTGAGGAAAACAAGCACCGCTCCCGTGGGAAAAGGAAATGAAGTGGATGCAGTAAGAACAGGGATTCCTCTGGAGCAAAGGAGAAGCAGAAGGAGCCACATTACAGGGAGATTTGTCTTGTTTCCAGGAGATTCTGCCAGCAGCCTGGTTCTTAGAAATCATTGAGGCTTGTGGCTGAATGTTGATGTGTGATGTGCTACTCTGGTAATCTTGTGGGCTTTCATTTGATTTCTGCAGAAAAACAAAGCAATTTTGACTTTGGTTTGTTGTCCTTCCTCACTCCAACTTGAAAGCTGTTCTAGTTGGGGCACTCTTTCATCAGTTTGCAGAGCACTGCAGTCCCCAAGGATGTCCACCTTCAAAAAGCAACGTGTTTACAAGGGATGGAGTGAGCTGAGATCTATTTTATTAGAGGGACTGCTCTTCTGGGCATGTACCCATGTGACTGCTCACTTTCCAAGGGACTGTTGGGCTGAAAATCATTGCTGCATATTTCAAAGTGGATGTTGTGTTCTTCCTGGAAAAAATCATGCTTCAGAGTGTAAAGAAAAGAAAACTAAGCCTTAATTTGCTTTTCCTTGAATTCTGCAGCTCTTGAAGCTTTGCTGGTTGTAGGCTCTGACAGGACTGCACTGCTTATTGCCAACAGTGACTGGTGCTGCAGGGTCTGTAGAGTGGAGTTGGCTTAGGAGAGATTTACCCCCTTAAGGTCACTTGTTAAAACATCTGGTGAAAGGTATTGGGATGAAGAGATTAGATTGCAAGCTCTGAAGCATCGATCTTGCAAGAAGTTTGAGCAGGGCTCCCACTGAGAGCAAAGTCAAACTCTGTGGAGCCAGGTCCATGGTCAGTCTCCATGAAGTGGAAGAGTCTTCCAGGTCACAGACCTCAAATCTCTTCTGGAGCAGAAGAGGTCAGAGCAGGGCACTCTGCCATTTCACTGCCTCCACAGTGGCATAGTACCTGTAAAGCTGTGCTAAGGAGGGAGAGGCATCATAAAAAAAATATTATACCAATCACACAGTTTTATGTGATGCTTCTCTTTAATCTGACACCGATTGTGTTGAGTATATTTTCTGTTTGGTGTGAATTTCAGGGAAGAGTCAGATGACTTACTGCCAGTTTGCAAAGATGAGTGAATGCTGGTTTAGAGTGTCTCCTCCCTTGGCTGATCCCCAGGCCAGCACGGTCCCTGTTTGTGCTGGCAGGCCATGTGTAAGATACCTCACCTAGAGTCAGGAGGGCAGGAAATCACCACGAGGTTTTAGTCTCTGATCCAAATTCAGCTCTACAAGTCTTGAGGTTTGTCCTTGAGATTTCTGCCCATTCTCAAAAAACTGATTGCTGTGACTGAAATGCCATTTCATTCCTCCTCCTCCTGCCCAGGCTTCAAGTGCTCTGTAAGTCAGAGGGACTGTTAACTCACTGAAATTGAAAAATCCACCTACGTTGCTATTGTTTGTGCCCTACGGTGTTTGTCTCAATCCCGAATGCTTTATGGATGTTCTGCCTCGGCAGTGTCGGGAGCTGGCTGCTTCTCACATTAATCACCTGCTGTGTAATGAGGCTTCACACGTGCTCTGCTAATAGCCAAATCACTGTCCTTATTGGAGACTCTTTAGTGCTGAAGTTGGTTGCTCCTGTGATGTCCTGCCTCACTGTGCTGTTTGGGAATAGACCTCCCTGAATTATTTGCCTCTAATTCCAGTTCTGCTTCCTGGAGTGTGACAGTGTCCAGTCCTTGTTATCTTTTTTTGAACTAATTAACATGAAAGCTGCATTAGCAACAGCTGAATTTCTATTTTTAGCTATATCTTCACATGTTGTTAGTGACCTCACCCCAAAAGTACTGAACCTCTTGTAGCTGTGAGGTGCTTTTTGCTGCTGTTCCTGCAGAGTGATTGCCAGCATGGTTTTCTCCTGCCTTACAGCTTCCCCAGCCAGGAGTCTCTGTCCAAACTCTCCCAGCTCTGATTGCCCAGCTTGGGAAATCCAAGAGATCTCACTTGGTGGCCTGTTTAGCTGCTCACCAGCAAGAGGGTGATAAAAAGAGCAGTGTAGGTCTCCTGTGTGGTGACCCAGCTATCTACTGGCACAGTTACTTCAGACTTAATCTTTGCAGGAGCTGGAGTCAGCTGGTATCTCCACAAGCATTTATCAACCTGTGTTTTTTTTCCTGTATACAGTTGGTAGCTGCAGTCCTCTTGTTTTCCCGCTCTGGGCGTTTTCTCATACACAAGCCTCGTTCCTCAATGTGTGCTGTGGGCTCAGGACTGTTTCTGGAGCTGTTTTAATGGGATTTTTCTGCTCCCTCCAGCAATCTGCAGAGCGCTGTGTGAGCACACTGCTGGACCTCATCCAGACCAAGGTCAACTACGTGGTGCAGGAGGCCATCGTTGTCATCAGAGACATCTTCCGCAAGTACCCCAACAAGTACGTGGAACTGGTGTAAGGTTTTTTGGAAGCCCTTGTCTGCTCTCAGCAGAATAGAGCAGTGTAAAACTCAGCATGGCTTACCAGGGCTCTGAAGCAAAGGTGGGAGCAGTGTCCATTCTGATTCCACTCCTAGTTTGGTAGGATTCAGATGTTTGCTGTAGGTGAGGGATCGGCCTGACTCATCATTAGTTGGAATTGAAAGCTTTTCCTTCCCCACCACTCCATATGGATGCTGAATAGAAGCCTTACCCAAAAGCCAGTAAAGCTCTTGCAGAGAATGCCAGAAGGAAAATTTGGCCAAGTTTACAGCATCAAGCTTTTCTGGTTTTGCTCATAGCTCCTCTAGAAGTCTTACATACAAAGCTATGAAAGGTTCATGGCTCTCCTGGTCTGAGATCCCAGTCAGGTTGTGCCAAACAAAATGCTGCTGTCTTTCCCCATTGAGTGTTCTCTCTGGTTTGGGCAGAACTCAGCTTTTTTTTTTTTGTTGTTTTGCTGTTTCTGCAGTAAGGTTTTGTCTCCTCAGCTACAGAACAGCAGGAGTGTTTTTCAGCAGAGACTTGATGATCACCTAAAAAGTAATATGGGACATTGCAGGCCTCTCTGGCAATTTCTGCTGTCAGTTACAAGACAGATTGTCTGCTTGTGACAGGGAAACCCACGCTCGGGAACAGGGGAAGCTAAATTAGTGCGGGGTACTGTCTGTTTTACAGTAAAGCCTTTGGGGAAGTGTAATATCCAGTTCAGAGTTACCAGTCTGAAGACTCCAGTGAGGCTGCAGGATCTGATTCAGATGCATGGGCTGAACTGTTGGATCAAACGTTCCCATTAGCAAACAAAGTGAGGCAGCTTTGTCTTGAATTCCACATCTGGGTGGTCTTGCTGATGAACTAAACTGCAAAGACCCTGTGAGATCTTCGTGCTCAGGTTTGGAAAAATAAAAAGCTGGAGAATATCTTCTGTAGTTAAGTGAAAATGCTGCATGGAAATAAAAGATTTTTTAGTGCAGGATTCCCTGAAGAATGATGTGGGCAGGAACTGAGTAAGACAAGTCCAGTTCATCCCAGTAATCCACCTGTACTCTGTCAAATCAGGTATGAAAGCATCATTGCCACTCTGTGTGAGAACCTGGATTCCCTGGATGAGCCAGATGCCAGAGCTGCCATGATCTGGATAGTGGGTGAATATGCAGAGAGAATTGACAATGCTGATGAACTGTTGGAGAGTTTTCTGGAGGGCTTCCACGATGAAAGTACTCAGGTAAAATTGCATTGTGCATCTTAATCTGTAATGTTCCATGCAGTGCATTAATGGGATGGACAGTAAATATTATTCAATGAAAGCTTCAATATTTGGCTAAAGAAACCCTCTGGGAGCCTGTAGATTTGCTCCGTTGTCCCTGTCTCCAAAACTTCTCTTCTTGGAAGGATAAGACAGAACTGGAGGGGTTTCTAGATGTTTCATACTTCCTGGGGGAGTAACCCTACTAGGGACCAGAACATAGAGAGGAATAGTGATGAGATACATCACAGTACGACACAAACCTCAGTGTGGTGCTCAGGGACTTGTCTGTGAAAGTGTTTTGCAACAGGCAAGAGTGTGAGTCTCACTGTACTGGGTTTCACTGGCAAAGAATAGTGTAATGCTGTTATGAAGCTCAAGTTTTGTATCAGTAAAAGATGTTGAGACTTGCAAGATGTTGCTGAAGCATGGGTGAATTTTCTGTTCTCTGTTATGTCCCTTTCTCAGGTGCAGCTCACCCTCCTGACTGCTATAGTGAAGCTGTTCTTAAAAAAGCCTTCTGAGACACAGGAGCTGGTTCAGCAGGTCCTCAGCCTGGCCACCCAGGTAAGCCAAGATATCCAGTGATCCAGAGCCCTCCAGACACTGTGCATCCTACCATGTGGTGTCTCCCATCTGCCAGGCCAGTCAGCTTTGCAGTAGATGGGATTCAAAGGTATTCCCCTGCCTCCCAAAGAGACTCCATTTAAGAGCTGCTCTGTGCCTCTTGCCATCTGGAGTCTTCCCTCTCCTTCTTAGCTCTTGCTTTATCCAAATTCCTCCCCTATTCCCCCACTAAAGGGACAGGGTGGAGTTACCAAGAAACCAGAATGCTTTCTCCTTGAAGGTGCCTTGCAGTTAAAACATCTGGAGCTGTGACAGAGGGAAAGAACCTGGCAGGGACTTTGTTCTGTGAACAGCAAAGTTTAGGCAGTGCTATGAAAAAGAAAGAACTGGAGTTTGGGGTTTTTCCTTTGTACTTGGATGCTGTCAACCAATGTGGCAGCTTTGCTGGAGGCTGTAGCAGTGGGTTAAGATCATGGATTCATTATGCATGAGGCGCTGAGTTACAAGCTCAGATCACTGCAGGCGAGGCTGGGATTGAGCTGGCAGACACAAGTGCTGTAGTTCTGGAGGACAGAAGTGGAGATGTCCTGGTGACAGGGGTGGCTAAGACCTCAGCCAATCTTCCTACACTCCCTGGCTGTAATGACTGGGGTAAACAGCCCAAAAAAAGCAGCTCCTCTCCAGACCTGCTGTGCCAAGTGATAAAAATAGTCTCCCGGCTGAATGGGCTGCAATTCCGAGCAGAAAACCTGGAGTCAATCATCAGCTGGCCTTTCTGATCCTCTGTGCTGCAAGAAATCATGGCTGTGAACTTATTAGTACTTAAAACTTTTATTCATCCTTTTGAGGAGTTGCATTGGTCGGCAGCAAGAAACACATGGCCTGCTTTTCTTGCTTCAAAACCTGCTTTTAGGCAGGATCTCAGCTGCTCTGCAGAGAGGAGTGGGCCAAGGGCTTGCTGTATCATTTGCCTGAGCCAACAGAAGAAAGGTACTAAGTGTTAAAACCCACTGTGCTGAGTCACAAAACACTTAATGGCACCCTAGGAGTATAATAGGCGTCTGTTTTTTCTCTGTTTGTCACAAATGTTGATTCAGTCTGGCTTCTTGTATTTTGTATGAATAATAAGTCAATGTAGGATAACTGGCTGTAAAACACTATAAAGCCTTACATTTCAGAGGTCTGATTTCTAGGTGGAGATACTGGTTTTCACTTGAGTGGGTGAGTAATTACACGTGTATTTCTTTCCCCAGCTTAGGTATTGTTGCACTTTGAGTGTCTGGGGGTAAGTCTGCACAGCACACTGCAGGCCTGATTGTAGCAGGAGCCAGTTTAATCCAGCCAACAGTGGCCAAAACAGTAGTGAAGCAGCTGGGGATGGCAGGGACATGGATGTGTAGCAGGGATCAGGTCCCTGGCAAGCCCATAACCTATAACAGACCTCTACATCCCCGTTGCTGTTGTGGGTCTGGCACGAGTGGGGAGCTGAGCTCATTGGTATGCAGACCCTGGAGAGCAGAGAACTGGGAGAGAAGCTGGGAAAGGGAAGATCTGAGCCTCTTGTTTCAGTAGGTTTGCTAAACTTTCAAATCTGTTTATTTGGCTGTGGAAGGAAACAGCCAGTCTTGAATCTGTTTGTGCCTGCAAGTAGATGGAAACCCGTGGTCTTTCACTTCTGCCTTGCAGAAACCCTCCTGATCTTGAGCTGCTGGTGCAGGCAGGATGTGGAGAGTCTTGTAGGGATTGTCAAGGGCAAAGGGATTGTTAAGGATTGCAGGGATTGTTAAGGGTGTAAAGAGTCAACCATCAAACAAAACCAGCACTGCAGAGACAATGTCTGAGGCTACAGGTAGATTTATCTGGGTCCTTACAAGCGAAATGAGCTTAGCTCAGTCTCATTCCAAATAGAGGTTTTACTGTGTGCCTGAGGATGTTGAGACAGACAGCAGAGAGGCAGGTTCTGACAGGTCAGCAGCAGCATGAATGAGATCACAGGAGAGGAAAAGAAACAGCAAGAGGAAGGCTGATGAGGTGTATGATATATTGCCATAATTTTAGGGGGAAAAAACCCTCAGAAACATTTATCCTGTTATTCTGCTGACGGGTGGGTTAAAAATCCCAGGTCTTGCTTCCATGAGCAGTTCAAACATGTTGCACTGCAACATAAAACCCCATCACCTCCCTCTCCCTTGAACATTAGCTGCAAACCATCCCCACTCACTTTGCTGCTCCGGGCAGAGATGCTTAAAGAGGAGAGAAATAATTAGCACTTCATGCAGAGGCAAAAGTATCTGCAGTAAAACAAGGGGATTATTGGCAGCTGGAGAACTGATGAAGTATCCTAAGTGTGTATCATTAGCATCTTTCCATACTTCATTAGATAACTAAAAGGCAGGATAAATAAGATCTCTTTTGGTATAAAGAATATGGCTTATTAAGATGTAACTCTGCAGCATCTTTTTGTCCAGCAGTGCCCTTGGGTAAGTCATACATTTCCAGGAATCTTGGATCATTATTCAGTATTGTATCTCTACTCTTAGTATGTGAAAGAGTGATTTTCGCTCACATTCTTTTCTTCTGTCTGCACCCCCTTGGAGTTCTCCTGATACTTATTGTTATATCAAGTGGCAGGAGAGTTTAGAAAGCAGTTGAGAGCTCTGTGGTTTGGGGCAATTGTGGGGTATAAATCCCAGGTTTTTTGCTCCTTGACCAGCTGAGCAGGAAGCCAGGCATTAGCACTCTGGTCCTCCATTTTTATTTTGGGATGTTCATCACAACAGTTTGTAACACACTTTGAAACTGCTGGATGGGTGGGGTTTTTTAATCCAGCAGAATCGCTGCTAGAAAGAATAATCGATTACAGGCCTTAGTTCACCTCAGACCCGTGAGTGATGTATTGCTTTGTCTCAGGATTCTGACAACCCAGACCTGCGGGATCGCGGCTACATCTACTGGCGCCTTCTCTCCACGGACCCCGTGACCGCCAAGGAAGTGGTTCTCTCGGAAAAGCCGCTGATTTCCGAGGAGACCGACCTGATCGAGCCCACCCTGCTCGATGAGCTCATCTGCCACATCGGGTCCCTGGCGTCCGTGTACCACAAACCCCCCAACGCCTTCGTGGAGGGGAGCCACGGCATCCACCGCAAGCACCTGCCCATTCACCATGGCAGGTAAGCTCGGGCAGCCACCAGGACAATGGGCAGGGTTGGCTGTTTCTTTCTAGCAAACGGTCCAAAAGATGCCAGAAGATCTTTTAGAACACTCTAATGGGATTTTATTGATAAGTGTGTAAGGGCTTGCAGGTCATTCAAGGGGCAGTTCCGCTGTCGAAGGTAATCCTGGGTTATATAGTGTCCAAGTTTCTGGGTCAGAAGACACAGGAAGTATGGAAGTTCTTGTGTGAGGAGGAGCTGTGATGTTTTTTAAGAAGACATTGTCTGTAAGTGCTCTTGACATGAGAGGCTGAGTTAAAAAGCAGAAGGTTTGGGTAAGGGTGGAATCACCTTTGGTGCAAGGGCTTCCTTCGGGGGGAGGAGGAGTAGAGTAAGAACAGGCATCTTTCAGAAGATGGTTTTGTAAGAGCTTTTGCTTCAGCAACAGCACAGCTTAAGGAGCCTGTCTCCTGGAATACAGTATCAGTTTCTTAGAACAGGCAAGTAAAGGGATCCTTTGCTGTTGGAATATGAAATGGGGAAGGATTGGTAAAAACTACCTTTCTCACTCCGTGCCTATGAGACAGGGGGAGTGCAAAAACCATCAAAGCCCCATCACTGAAAACTGTTAGAGCTTAAAAGAAGATGGGTAGACTGATGTCTGTCTAACCCTTGGGAGGTGGGGGGAAATGCTTTGGCATATTGCCTGGAGCTTTAATGCTTCCCTGTGATCAGAGTCCTGGAAGCAGGTTGGATCTGCAGGCAGTGCAGCAGCTCCAGGCTGCAGAGGGGTTGCTATTGAGCCTGTTCCCATGGTCCCTCATTCAGGTGAGCAGTGCTATTTGCACTAATGGTATTAATTACACAACTGAGTGTGCTTTGCAGCAGGAGGCAGAGTATCCAGGCTTACCTCTTAATAATATTCCCAAAGTGACATTTGGAGTGCTATTTTTTGCTGTTGCACTGATAAATCAGTGTGCGATGCTGCTGCTTTTCTATTTTCTGACACCACTTCTCTGCTATTCTTAGCAACTAAAGCTATTTCGGTGGTGACTGGCTTTGGGAAGCCGAGTTGTTTTCTCCCTGCCTATGAAATCAAGTCTGGCTGCACTGACCCAGAATCAGCAAGCACAAGTCTACCAGTTGGACGAGAAAAGCAGTGGCCGCTTTCCTGCCTCTCCTAGTCAAAGATTTGTCTCAAAAGGAGCTGGGGTAGCTTTGGTCTTTGGTGTTACCAACTTTCCTGTACACTGTTGTTTCAGGTCACGACAGAAGATAACATTTTAGGGGATTTAGCTCAAGGAATTCAGCTTTTTGAAGCAGCAGTTTTTTACTAGCTTCTTGCATGTACTGTGTATGTGCTTGACTTTTGTAACTCATGCTCTGTCTGCTGACCTTAAATCTGTTCTGACTAGAGCAGAACCATTGCTTCAACATAAACCCTCCAGGCCTCAATCAGCAGTGTTGAGCTGAGGGAAGGTCTGAAGGGTGCTCCTGCTGATCATATTGATGCAGTGCTGGAACCCATTTGGTAAATTAAAAAATGAGTGGAGTTAATGGCACACTGGGCTTCTCCAACAGGAGCTCACCTCCAACCCCATTATTGGGGTTTTCTGCATCAGTGTAAAGCAAGTTAAGGGTGTCCAGTGGAAGATAACCATCTCACCTAATTGTTTGGAGTTATCTTCTTAACAGCTGCACTCCAGTAATGACCATTCTGGTGGCTAAAGTGTCTGCTAGAGATTGAGGTTTTCCTTCAGGTTGCACCATGAGATAGAGGTGAAAGCAGGGAAGTGTGGACATGTCCACAGTGAATGTGGTTTGAGAGTCAAGACAACGTTTTCTTGAGTGGGTTGGCAGAGGTAACCAGATGAATGGTGCTTCCCTGGGTATAAACCTTGGAGTAGTTAGTTATGGCTGGCAGAATTCACTACGTTGCTTTTTGATTCATTTAATTTCCATTCCAAGCAAGGACAGGTTTCTTTGAGCTCTCTCAGCTGATGGGAAGACCCATTGAACAGCTCACAGATGGTGAAATGTTCCTGCCTCTTCAGTGAACCCAAGTGTCACAGAGTTGCAGATGTATCCTGGATATGGGGGGAGAAACCTGATTGCTTGGCAGTGTTTCCTCATGTGGTGGCTCCCACCACCCCTGCTCAGCCATAATTCAGCTGAGAAATTTGGGAAGATGTTTACAGGGCTCCTGGGAGGAGTCTGGTTAGACTTGGGCAGGAATCTCTATCCCCCTGTTTCACAGGTGGCTGCAGGAAATTTTTGATTTTGGTTCCCTCTGTACATCCCTTGTAAAACCCAACATCTGGGACCTGCTGGAGGCTGAATTCATAGGGCTAAATCTCCAGTTCACATGGGCAAACCCAGCTGTTACCCACTGCCCAAGACTGTGAGGGGGAAAGCTTATATCAAGACTTTCTGCCTTCTATAACCCACATATTCTTTATTAATTTTTTTCTTTCATATAAAATTCAAAGTTTTTTTTTATACAAATCTCTTTGAAGAGACCCATTCTTCCCAAATGGGGTTTTGTTTTTTAATACAAACTGACTTGGCTTTGTCCTCTCCTAATTTCTTGTTGGGTTTTGGGGCAACAGCAGTTACACAAGACCTTGAGGGATTTCTCTGTCTCCATCAGGAGAAGGATGAGTAAGTGTTGAAGAGGTGTAGTGTTAAAGGGATTACAGACTGGGAACGAACCAAGTGGCTTGTAATGTGCCTCTGCTTGGAGCTGCTGTTCCTCCCCTTCCCAGGGTGGGGGTGGGAGTGGATCACAGTAACCACTTGCTCTTCAAAAATGTTCCAGTGAGCAGTTCAGCACACTCAGCAGTCTCCCTGCTGAAGGCAGAAGCAGAAAGGACAGCTAATATTAGTATTATTTGGGGTCTAAAGCTTTTAATGCAAAGAAGCTTTCAGTGCTTGCTGCTGCTGCTGCCTGGTAACTAATTCATTCTGCAGTCCTTATGCTCCATCTTTTCCTCTTGGCACTGAAGTTGGGAGCAGCTTAGGCTCTGTCACTGAGTCTTTCCCCTGAGCAGCTGAATAAGGATGAGGGAATTCTGGCTACTTGGAATGAGGAGCTGCAAATCCTTACAGAAGAGCCCCAGTGTTAAACACCTTGTCAGGACACTAATTCCCACAGCATTTGTGGGCAGTTACCTGTTGGCTGCAGCTGCAAGCACATGAGCTGGAAATCATTTTATCACTTACTGCTGGCAACAGGGTACAGAAGGGATTTCAATTATCTAAGATGAGCATCTCTGAATTTAAAGAATAAATACACTGTAGTGAGATCTTCAGGAGCTACAGTCAGTTACTTCCCCCCTCCTCCTTTCTTGTTATAAAATCCAGTGACAAGTGAATGTAAACGGTAGCCAGACTGCATATGATGAGAAATTTTGGAAGCTGTATAATGAGCATTTCTAGACTAGCAATTAACATGCCTGCTAACTCAGAGGAAAGGAAATTATTGATAGAAGAGAGGAATCAATTTTAGATGGGGGTTTTCAATTAGGAAAGAGTTGTGGAGCTTGTTGCTGGTCAGTAGAAGGTGATTAATCGAGATGTATGGGGAGTGGTGGAGTTTGCACTGGTTGGAGTGAGGGCTCAAGGGTTTTTTCAATGTTAGGTTGATAACATACTCTGAGGAAATCTGAATTATTTATTTTTCCCCATGTTTATATGTGGCTCTCAGGCCCAGTGGGCTGAAAATCATCTCTATAGGTTTATTCTGAGCTGTGAAATACTTATTTTCAGTGCTGTAGTCCATGTAATACTCATGGCACACTGTTTTGGATGGGTCTGTGATTCTTAAGGTGGGCAAATTCCACACCTTGGAAGATTCCCTTTGCTGAACTGAAGACCATGCATGATGCTTGGGAAGTCTTGGTGCTCAAAGCATGTGGTGAAGAACCACGTGCCATAACACACTGCCAGCTGTATCAGGGGGCAGAGCACTGCTGGGATAATCTTTGGACTGGCTTCTGCTTGTCTTGCTGTGTTTCCCCACGCTGAGAATCCGAAGCTGGAGACCACAGGTGACTGATGTCTCTCTCTCCTCTGCTTCTTGTCCCACCTCCTGCAGCACCGACGCTGGCGACAGCCCCGTGGGCACCACGGCCACCACGAACCTGGAGCAGCCACAGGTCATTCCATCCCAGGGAGACCTCCTGGGAGACCTCCTCAACCTGGACCTGGGGCCCCCTGTGAACGTTCCCCAAGTGTCCTCCATGCAGATGGGTGCCGTGGACCTCCTGGGAGGAGGGCTGGACAGCTTGGTAAGCAGCATCCTCGTTAGCTGGTGTGAAATAATTGGAGTTGTGCTTATCTCTGCAAAGCCTTGACTATTTGTGCTTTTAATGCTTGGATCACTGAGCTCCCAGTGCTGAGTCTTGAAACTCCAAAAGGATTTAACCAGTGCTATTATACCAACTCCCAGCAGGTTTTTCCTGCTGTAAAATGGATGTTGCTTCATGCTGTAGAATCCCCATGGTCAGTGGATATATTTGTTCTGTGCTTTTTCTGTGCAAAAGAAAACCAAAAAGTTGTTTTAAGCATGTAAAGTGTTTCACTGCTTTGTATTTGATTCAGGCTGCCTTTCAAGAAGGCATTTTACTCCACCCACTTCCCAGCCTTCCTGAATTTCGGTGCAAAGCTCTCAGGCTGTAACCCTGTGTCATCTCACTTTTATATGTCATGGCTTAATATGGGTGACATTTTAATTGCAACGAGGTCAAGAGGGAAACACTCTGTGTAGTCCTCACCATGCCACAGCAGCTCATGAGGTACCTGCCCTGGTACTACCAGGGTCAGGCTCCAGTGGGAGTGATCACACCTTTTTGTGCTCTGGGGAGTGAGCTGGGCATGAGCTGCAATGAGAAAATCACTTGGCAAGGAGACAGCAGCAGTGGAGAGGTCAGTGCTGTGGTCTTATAGCCAGGTATTAAGAGGTGGTGAATGATATAATGAGCCTGGGAGCTGTTCCCATGGAGGGGAGCACAGCACACAGGCCCTCAACTCTCTGGTGACTTCCCTGCAGGGGAGGAAGCACTCCTGGGTATATTTGCACTGTGTAACCTGGGTAAGACTGCCCCAGGGAACACAACTGGGTGTTTTTTCAGACCTGCAGTGGATTTGTCTTGCTTGAGGTTTGGCTTGTAGTTCTCTGACTGGTTTAGGTGGTTTCAGTTCTGAGTCAAGCTCTGAATAACAGAGGTAGGAGGCAGCTGGATGAACCCCAATGCAACAAATCCTTATTTGTCAAATATTTATTTTTTTAAGCTGCCATAATCTTATTAAAGCAGACATTGAACTCATTTCCAGCTCTCCATGAGCTAATGAACTGGAAACAATCTAACCCTTAATGGCACTGGCATTCACAGAGGTCAGATGTGCTTTAGCCTCTGTGCTGACCAGCGGGTTGTTTGGTCACTGGGGTGGCTGCTCTTACACTGGGAGAGTATCTCAGAGGGGATCATGGTCAGGCTGGAGATGCTGGGAAAGCAGACAGTGAGCCCAGAGCCCTGTGCAGCCTTTCCCTGCATTGCAAGACTTGCCACTAAGAACCTGGGATTGGTAATTGTGTGAAGGCTTTGCAGGAGACGGTGCTGTCTGTGGTGGCAGAGAATGGTTAGCACTTAAATTCCTCTGTCTGTGCTGCTCTCCAGGCCTCTTATAGTAACCCTTTGTTTCTCATTAGTGTCAGGCAAATAAATGGACACAGTAAAATTAAAACTTGGTTTTGGGAGAAGAGCTGTCTCGCAGGTGGCATTAATGGGCTTAATTTAGTGACCTGCTTTGACAGTAGAGCTGTTAGTTGATATGGTCCTAGGCTTTTACTTAATATTTTCCTCAAGCCTTAAGTAAATCCGTGGAGCTGTGGAGTGTGATCTGACAAAATGATCATGTCTGGATGGGGAGTAGCTGTGCCTCGGGCTGCACAGCCCAGCACTGTCTCAACTGAATTACTGATGGGGTGAGCACTAAACCAAATGTCTGAATGATGGAGGGGTTTTTGATGTTGGGTGATTTCTGTTGAAGTGCTATTGCATCAAATGAATCAAAGCTCTGCCTTTTCCTTCCCTCGTGCAGATGTTGCAGATGACACCAAGTTGGGCAGGAGTGTTGGTCTGCCTGAGGATAGGAAGGCTCTGCAGAGGGATCTGGACAGGCTGGATCTAAAGGCTGAGACCCAGTGGTGTGAGGTTCAACAAGGCCAAATTACTGGGTCCTGCACTTGGAGCAGCCCCATGGAATGCTCCGGGTGTGGGGCAGAGTGGCTGCAAAGGTGCTCAGTGGAAAAGGACCTGGGAGTGATGGTGACAGTGGCTGAACATGAGCCAGGTGGCCAAGAAGGCCAGTGGTACCTGGCCTGTGTCAGCAATAGTGTGGCCAGCCAGGGCCAGGGCAGTGACCGTCCCCCTGCACTGGGCACTGATGAGGCCACACCCCAAATCATGGGATTAGTTTTGGGCCCCTCACAACAAGAAAGACATTGAGGGGCTGGAGCATGTCCAGAGAAGACAACAGAGTGGAGGAAGGGGTTGGTCTGATGAGGAGCAGCTGTGGGAGCTGGGTGAGCTCAGCCTGGAGAAGAGGAGGCTCAGGGGGACCTTCTCACTCTCTACAACTCCCTGACAGGAGGGTGTAGGTGGGAGTTGGTCTCTTCTCCCACAAAGCAGGTGACAGGATAAGAGGAGACAGCCTCAAGATGTGCCAGGGGAGGTTTAAATTGCATATTAGGAAGAATGTCTTCACTGAAAGGACTGTCCAGCCCTGGCACAGCTGCCCAGGGCAGTGGTGGAGTCACCACCCCTGGAGGGATTTAACAGATGTGGCACTTGATTTAGTGGTGGCCTTGGCATTGATGGGGTAACAGTCTAGAGGTCTTTTCCAACCTAAATGAGTCTATGATAATAAGCCTAATTAGTGAGTGAATGTGATCTGTATCTTTGTTCATTGTTGTGGGCAAGTGTTTAGCAAGCATCAAGCTGGCTTAACCCTAACCTGGTATTAGCCAAATTGCTGGGCAGTGTCTCTGGGCTGCATGACTCACCAAGAGGGTTGGGATTTGAATCTTAGGATAATATTAAACCACATTTGTGCAGTGCCATCCCCTCTTCTACCCCCTTTTCTTTGGAGGGGGTGTCCGACTTCAGAGGGATGCTCTTGCAGTAAAAGTCTCAACAGGACTAACCCAGAAAGACCAGCAGCAGCTTTAACTTCCATGGCAAATCATTCTGCATTTCAGTTTCTTAAACTGGAGGGGGTTATTTTTTCTTCCAGGCAGTTAAATGAGACTCTGTGGTGTAAAACTGGATAAACACCAAATTTATATTGTTCATTTGAATTTTCCTCAGCATTGCTAGGTATTTATCCCCATGACTAGTGAGACTCCAGCTGCTTGAGAGGTTAATTTATTTATTGAGTAAATCTTATTTTATCTCCATAGTGAGTTCTGTAATTGGTATTAAATGTAACATGCATGCACAGATGCTGAGCATGTGTTAACAGTTACAAAAAAAAAAAAGATAGAAAAAGGGCTGTTAGTACAAAAACAAGATATGGTTTGCTTATAACCAGAGCAGACTTGCTGTAGGACCTATGGAGAGCTGTTTTCTAGTAAAGAAAGCCAGTCTGGGTTGTGCCCCTATTTGCCACCGTGGGCAGATCTAGTTCTTCTCTGCTCAGTTTTCTTTTCCATAAAATGGTGACTAAGCCCACTTTTACAGAACTATTTGAGATCTCCAGCTCAGCAGTGTAAAGCAGTCATACCAGCCACTCACGTGGGAGAAACAAAACTTCCTGGGACAGCAGATTGCTGGATGCAGAGCTTTGTGCAGTTTGATGCCTTATCCCCTCAAAGGCAGCTCTGAAGTGGCTGAACTTCATGCAGGTTACAGACACCCTCCCAGCTCCTGTTTGCTGTTGATGTGGTGCTTTGCAGGATGTCTGTCTGTGCTGACGTGAGCTGGGGTCATTTTGCCTTTAAACCTTTTTTTGTGTGTTCATTTGCTCTGAAAATCCACTGAGCATGTGAGGGAGAGCTCTGTGCTGCCCAGCACATCCTGCAGCTCCCTGTGAGCCTGTGCATTTAATGGGAGCAGGGCACCATGGCCAGGAGCCAGGGAGGCTGGCTTGAAACCCAGGGGCAGAGCAGTAAATCTGTGGGAATAGGCAGGCTTGGATAGCCTGTTATGTAAGGGTTTTATTTAATGCTCGAGCCACTCATCTACAAGAATATTATTGATTCAAGACTGGCAGCTGGTCAGATTGATTTATGTCCTTGGTTGAAAAGCTGTTTGATAAACACTGGTTATCTGCAGTTTTCTATAATACTTGGACTGGTTTGGGCTGTTCCAGGTGGAGCTGTGCCCCTCTGTGTAATCAGGTTGGATATAGGGGGGGTCTGACCCCAAGGTTCCCTTCCCTACAGTTCAGGGCTGTGTCCCACCCCTGTGCTTGGCTCTGCAGTGGGATGGAGGGTGCAGCAGCTCACCCTCTCCCTCAGGGTGTCCTGAGCTCCAGGCACCTGGCAGCCTGGGAAGAAACCCCTGCTTCAGCAGCCCTGAGTGCCTGCCTCATCCAAAAGGGGCTACTGGTGTCACTCCCTCCCTGTCTGGCTGCTTTCAAGCGGAGAGTTCCAAGTCTGGCCTCAGGGGACAACATGCTGATTTGTTGAGGTTGATTAGGGACTTACCAATGTTTTATAAAGAAACCCTTCTGCTGGTGTTTCATATAGTCAGAGTAGTTGTGGAAGCCCAAAAGCAACCTGGGAGCCAGATTCCTCTCTTGGCTCTGCAAGTGACTTGCTGTGTATAATCTTAGGGAAGTTACTTCCCTTACCTTTTCCTGGAACTGCAGTGTGAGAGTGTCAGTGCTAGGTCAGCCCCAGCATCCATTTATGCAGGGGATGTGATGCTCTCCCAGAGTGCTGCTCCAGCCTCTGATAAGGAGCTGAGTGACTCCTTTCACCTGGGCTGTTCTGGTTTGATGAGCTTCAAAGGGCATCTGTTAAGATTTCTGACAAAGGACACGTGTCCATTGCTGGAGCTGGGCTGATATGGAAAAGGAGCTCTTTTGGTGGGTCACTCATTCATGTCTGATTGAAGGCTGTTGTTGTAGCAGTCATAGGACTTCCAGGGCTTTGTGTGCTTCTTTTTTGCACTTTGGAAACTGAAAATGGTTAGTACTCAGTTTTGTTTGCTGATGGAAGTCGTTCAGCCCGGTGTAGAGCATTAGCAGTAAGTGCAGTGAAAGGGGTGACCCTGGTATTGGCAGCAGGACTCGTTCCCCAGCACCTTTGACACAGCTGTCCCTGGTTTGGAGAGCAGCCCTTCTGCCCTGCAAGCCTGGCTTGGTGGTGTGAAAACAGACACATAAGATAGGCAGCAAACAGGCACTGAAAATGTCTCTGTGTGAGCCACAGCAGTGTCTGCAATGAGATCCCTGCAGCCCACCAGGAGATGCAGCCTGGTCTGTCCTGCAGCTCAGGTGTCTCTAACAGGATTAGCCCGGCTCAGTGGCATCTCAGTCAGCCCCAGCTCCTGATTCCTCTTAAGTAAATGCCTTGTGTTCCTTGCTGCTGTGTTACTGAGTGCTGGCTCTTATCCAGCTCCTTGAGCTGTGGTGCTTGACTCTTGGTTTGGGGTATGAGGGAGGGGGGAGGCAGCAATTGTCCCGTGTTAACCCATGAACTATAGTTCATGAAATGCACAGCTGCCCTGAAAGCCCTGGCTATGCTGTGGACACAAGGCAAAGCAGTTGCTGGGCAGTGGTTGTTGCAGCTTCTGTCCCTGGCTCCACCCTCCCTGTTATTTTTTGGTGCTCCAAAAGCCTCACGTCATTTTGCAGAAGTGATTGTAACCCCTCTGGATCACATGAACACTTCAGCAGAGTCACTTCATTACAAGCTGCTGTTAAGATGCAAATAAACCCTCCTAAATGCAGTAACACCAGCGCTGCTGCACTTCATAAGTCAGCATAACTGCTTCCACAGAGCTGGAATTACAGGGCAAAGGCTCTGCCACTGCAGAGCAGCTGCAGCACTGTCTAAGCCAACTCACACCAAGTAAAGGCTCTGCTGCACTTTATGAAGAGGTGCTGGTACTGCTTTTATTGATACAGGCTTGAACCCAGCCTCTTCTTTAAACCCATGTGGCTGCTTTGGTGCTGTTGTGGCAGGATGGGTTTGGAGAGAGCGAAGAGAACCGTTTGAACAACTTGGTGCTTTTGGGAGCAAAGACTCCCTGTTCATCCCCTGCTCATCTCCTGGAGGTGGCAGGTCTTCCTCCTGGGTAGAGGCTTTGCCCTCTTAGCAAGAGGCAAGCCTGCCAACTTTGGGCTCAGGATCAGGGCTTTGCAGTGCTGTGAGTTCCCCTGGATTGTCAAATGCCAGCCCTTGTCCACCAGTGAGCATTTCAGCCTGAGTGGGGCTAACAACTGTATTCACATTGTCCTCTCCTCCATGGGGCTCTTGCCTGATCTCTGTAAGCCAGTCCAGGTTGTCCTTCTGGCAGTGTCTGTCCACCCATAAGATGAATGGAAATGGTTAACTAGAGCTGCCAGCCCTGGGGAATTGCTTCAGCAGCACTTCATGCCTGACTAATATCTGCTTCTTTCCTTCTGCACTCTGCCTGTCACTCCAGATGGGAGAGGACACTCCGTGGGTAATTGGTTCCTGTTCCCTCTGTCTTCCTCCTTCCCTCTTACTCACACACTTCGCTCTCACTGTCTCTTCCATCATTCTGAGTCTGGAATAAAGTTAGGTCTTGGGCATCTCACAGGAGGATGGAGTAAACCAGTCCTCAATGGGGAAAGAACTGGTGCCATGGGAGGGTGACAGGCAAGAAAAATGGAGAGAGGTGCTTGTGTGCTGCTGCAACGGGCAGTGCACCCCGGATCTGATGGGGAACTGATTAGTTCTTTATTAACTTGTGTTGCAGTAGATGTGCTGTCACTTCTCTTTTCACTGTTAGGTAGAGCCAGCTCTGCCTGCAGGGACCTGGAGGAGCTGGCAGCTCCTCGGCGCTCACTCTGCGGCTCCGTAGCACATCTGCAGTGCTGGGCCCGAGGACAGGAGCCAGGAGAGGCACAGGCTGTGCTGTGCAGAGCCCTCTGACCAGCAAAGAGGGGCTTCAGGAGGTCAGAGCTTCCTGCCATTGGAAAGAGACCTTTTCTCCCACAAAGCAGAGATGTCGGGTGCAATCTGGAAACGTAAAGGGGCTCGTGGTAAATCCTCTGAGCCAGTGAGGGGGTTTTTTTTCTACTCCTTGTAGGGAGTGAGAGCTGGAGTCTCCACTCAAGCAATTCTACTTTTTCCCCAAGGCCTGACATTTAGGGAAAATGGAAGACTTGTAGATAGCTTGAGGAACCCCAGTATGTCATTTCTGCTCTCCCTCACAGTGAGTGCCTGCAGATACCAGTGTACGAGCTGCTTCGAGGTTGGGTTCCTACCCTGCAGCTTCTTGTGACGAGTATAATAGGAAATGGTAGAATGGTTAACATCTGGCTTGATTATGCAGAATTATTCAGTCATTTCCATAATACCCTTTGTAAAATGCTTGCTGCTTGATAAACCAGTCTTTCTCCTGCTTCAGACAACAGTACCAGAAGTCCTCCATGCATACAATAATATCTGGAAATGAATTGGATTCTTTCTCTTCCCCCGGACTTCGCTGCCTGTCAGTGTAAAGCATGAAGTTCATCTGCATGCAAGACTATGAATAGGGATGAGGTGTAATAGTTGCATTTATTACTCCTCAGTGAGCCAGTAACAAGATGTAAATGATCTGATATATTAATCTAAATCATGGCTTGGCTTAGCAGTCAATAGAACAAAACTCGGCTCTGCCAGACTGTTTCAGTGGGGGAGACTTGACAGTGTAATAAGCCTTGTTTTATAAGCTCAATATTAATTGGATTTGCATCCTCTGGCTGGCTTCCTTTGGTCTCTGACTGATCCTTCTTTTGACTTCAGAATCACTCACTTTTATCTATTATCTCTTAAGTAAGCTAAGGAAAACTGGACAGCAAGAGCCTGGGTTGTTGTATGAAGAGGTGGCTGTTGCAAAAAATGAGGAACCTGCTGTTAACTTATGCCATGACCTCAAGTAGAGATAAACTGAGTCCCACACAGGAGAAAAAAAAAAGCTCTTAAGGCTTCTTAACAAAAAGCAAATTCTGTGTCATTTGTACTTCTCTAACACCTACTTATGGTGGCTGATGTTGCATCAGCTGGCTCCTGTGGGGACTGGAGAAGGAGAGGTGCCAGGGGACTGAAGAGGGATCCAGGGTAGCACAGGGATTTGTCAAATTTTACATGTTTTATGGAGGCTGGTTATCATCTGGTAAGTCACTGTCTTACGACTTTGCTGCTGTTCTCAGGGCAATTTTATCCTTTTTATCTGTGCTCTGATGGAGAGAGGTGTGAAACTTTATGGTATCTCTTGGCCAGCGTAAAATACCTCTGCTGTGAGATCTCCCAGGGAACAGGCTGCTGGGGAGCAGAGCAAAGTTAATTTGTAAGTTTTTTGTGCAGAGGGAAAAGGTTGGAGCCTTTTTGGCTCTAAGCATAGACACTCCTGGCAGCTTCTGCTTTAGCTATATGGTGCATTTATTCAGTATTCTGACACATCAGCGTTTATTTGAACAACATATCTAAGAGCCTTTGTTGACCCAGTTTGTCACATGCTTTTTATAAAAGCAAACTAACTCCCCAAACCCTAATCAAATGGAAGAGGAAAGCCATCTCAAGGTGAGCTGTGATGATCTGGTCTGACAGTCCAGTTTTCCTAATGGGACTGGCTCCTACCTCACCCTTGCACTTGCATCATCCTCTGTACTTATTGTCAGGTCATGTTCCTCGTCTGAATGTGACCCAAAAAAACCCCTGTACTAGGCAAAAAATTATCATGGTCTTCAGAAGAAAAGCCTGGGACACAGATAAGCCCGGAGATGTCTCTGCAGTGAATAACCACTGCAGATGTGTGGTTGTTCCCTCCTGGCTATCAGTCATCTGTTGAGTGCTTTTTAAATATTCACAGGAGTGATGTTGTACTCACAAACAGCGCTTGTAGCCAGCTTTGGAGCCTGTCCTGATCACTGAAATCTCTCGAGCGTGTAGAATGATGTTTGAAAAATGGGCTTTGCCACTGAGAAAGTGGTATGGATGCTTTTGTGAAGGGAGTTCATAATAGAAGAGCTTCTAGGTGGGCTGCAGGAGGGTTTGGCAGAAGGGTCCCAGAGAGGATTTAGTGTTTATGGAGGGTTGTACGGGTGTACACAGTCGCTGTTTCATCACTTCAGACTGTAGCTGTGTAGCTTGGCAGAGACTGTTATTGAAATAACCTACTGCACCGAGAGGTCTCTTTACTGTTGGAGTGCCCATTAGATCATGAAACTGTTTTTTTTCTGTCTGTGGGAGGGTTGCACTTTCAAAGGGAAGACAAAGCCCAGCTATCTGAGCTGTTGCAATAGCCAGCACATAGCCCGTTCTCTTTCTTCCCTGTTACTGAAAAGAGCCGCATGTCAGAGGAACACAGCCAAGATGCTTTGTGTTTGCCCGTAGTTCCTAGCTGTTCCCTAGAAAACTAAAGCTTTCAGGAAGTCAGCTTCCTGTCAGTTTTATTTTTATGCCGTTTCACAGTTACCCCACTGGGTTTTGTGGAGCTGCTGGGGCCTGCTGGCAGGCAGCGAGGTGGGCTGGAGGGAAAGCACTGATGCATGAAACGTGAAGAAATAGCACCGAGCTCCTGGCGCAGACGAGGGGCGCGAGGAGGGATGGATTTCTGCTCTTATTAACCTGCAGAACACTCCTGTCCACAGCGTGGGGTGCCTCTCCAAGTAGCTCTGCTCACACAACAGCAAAAAGCCCCTCTGTTCCCTGTGCTTTCCCAGCACTGCATTTCCATCTGTCCTGTGTGGCGAGCGAGCCGTGCTCGGAGCAGCGACTCCGCTCCGGCCATCTGACACTTGGCTTAAATGATCTCGGTCTTTCTCTCCTCTCTCTCCTTCTCTCTTTCAGCTTGGCAGTGACCTTGGCGGGGGCATTGGAGGAAGCCCGGCAGTAAGTGCCATTCCATTTTTTTCCCCAGTTTAAAAGAGCTGCTCAAAGCTCAGGGTTTTTTTTAAATGTAACCTCGCCCGTTACGTGCTGGAAGATGCTTTTAAATGCCTGAAGATGTTGGAAAATGGGCAAATGCAACTGAAATCTGAAACACACAGGTCCCCACCTATGATGCTTTGAGTCCAGCTGTCACCTGGGCTTTCCAAAGAGCAGCCAGGGCCAGAGCTGTTCACTCTATCTGCTTAGCTCTTCTTTCTCAGAGCTTTTAGTTGGAGCAGCAGTGTTAACACTGGCGGTACCTCATCCTTGTGCAACTGCTTTGGCAGCTGGAAGGCCAAGGATGCTTCTCTCTGCTCACAAAGCCTGGTCTGTTGTAACCCTAACCCACTGTCACCACAGGCTTGCCTGAACTCAGTGCTTTTCTCCTCCCAAAACCCACAGAAGTTTTTTTGCCTGGACATCAGGGATCAGGTGCTCTGAGCTATCCTACTACGTGTGGTCAGTGCTGCCACCTCCACTGTGCCTGTACTTTGTGAGTGTCCTGCTGCCTACAGCACTTGCCAGGACATGGGAGAGTTTCAGCCTGCTTCCAAAACACCCTTGGCTTCAAACACATACCAGCTTTTTCCAAGAAAGCATGGGAAATGAGTGCAAGATGACTTGGAGATGCAGTGGGCAGGAGTAGCCAAAGTAGTGTCCTCTACTAGAAAGCTCCAGTCCCTCTGCCCAGGACTGTGTACCCAGTAATTCAGTGAGGAAAGCACACTCGGTTCTGGAGGGAGGGCTTTTCAGAGACCCTTGTTATGGCTGCAGTCATTCTCTCCTTCCTTCCCTGTGAATCTGACACTCCTTTCTGGCTTCAGCACGAGGGCAGAGGAGAGCTGGTGGTGCAGTACACCTGTAGCCCCCAGGCAGTCCATCCACACCAGGGCATGGGAGATACTTCCCTGCAGGGATCGTACCTACAAAGCCAGGTCTTTGCCTTCCTGGGCCAACAAAAACCCACCAAGCAGTTCTGTCTTAGCAATTCTGCCTGTTTCTGGGCCGCTGACTGGAGAATCCTATTCTCAAGCACATAATTCTTCCTACTCACAGTAAAGAACTTGGAAGTCAAACTTGAGTGTGACTGTCCCATCTAGAGCTGGGCACCTGAAGGTGTAATATTCCTGGTTTGGTGCCCCCATTTAAGTCCTGAGAGGGAAGAATTGCCCTTCTTGCAGGAAGATTGTCCTCTGGCAGACAGAGACAACTAGTTCTGCTTCATGTGATGAACCTTTTGGACCACAGTGCTGAGAATGCAGAGCTCTGGCTTTGGGTGGGAGTACACAGTACGGTCATGACTCCCTTGCTATCTCTGGATATGCAAAATCTTGCAGATTCCTGAAGACTGACATAGTTGGGGGAAGATTTGAAGCATTTTTTTCTTTTCCCTGGGTTTATGTAGGGTAGATCCACAAAGCATATTGTCTTATGAGAAGGAGAGATGGAGAAGAAAGATTCCTCTAGAGTGGGAATAGATAACTGGAGCTATAAAAAATGATGTGAAAGCTTGGTTGAGGTGACAGCCGAGTGTAGGGATTAGTTGCCAAGAGCTTTGGAATTCAAATGCATAATTTAGCACTATTGATAAATCAGCGGGGAAGCTGCAAATGGCTTTAAAATATTTAGGATATTGCCCGAGTTCATGCTTTATTTAATAAGTAGCGTTCAAGTGTGATGTTAATCAGCGCCTGTTCTTTCTGACTCCTCCAGGTGGGACAGACCTACATTCCCTCCTCCGTGCCAGCCACCTTTGCCCCTTCGCCCACCCCTGCAGTGGTCAGCAGTGGACTCAACGACCTCTTCGAGCTCTCCTCTGGCATAGGCATGGCTCCCGGAGGATACGTGGCTCCAAAGTCTGTACGTAAGGAAAACCAGCCCTCCTCAGTGTATTGCCTTACCCTGGGCTACAAGGAGTCTGAGATTGCCCACCTGTCCCCTTTATTTGTGAGTCTCTGGTGCTTTCGGCACCTTGGTTCAGCTCCATCCCATTAGGGAAGCCCTGGGTTTATCTCAGGTGGAATAACAATATATTGGAGACCATGTTAGTTAGTAGTTACAGACTTCTGGTGTTTTAGCAGTTCCCTCATTTTGCCTGTAACAAGATTACTCTCAAGACTGGCTTATATAAGATCCGAGACTTTCCGTTTTGCCGGAGCAGCTTTCCTGCAGACCTGCTTCTTAGCGAGTTTCCTCAGGAAACTGAGGGCAGGATACAATGTGCAACAGCTTACTTTCGTAGCAGATTTGTTTATTTGGAGGAATCCAACGTGACAGTGAAGATAAACCCATGTGATTGGGATGAACATGCTGCAGTGTAATGCAGATAAACGCTCTGTGAGCAGCAGAGACCGCAGATGCATTGGCTTAGTCAGGAGGGGTCGGGAGATCCAGAACATGGTTCTGGAAACAGGCTGTGGAGCAGCCACAGGGAGCTCTGGGTTAGCCTTTCCTGCCTGAAAGGGAATAAACAAGAATTAGCACTCTTATTAAATAGTCCATGGATGGATAAACTTAAGTCATCCTGTGAAATCGAGGAATTTGAAATGGAGTGTGCAGAGCATACTCAAAGCTCTTGGCCCTTGCAATTATTACACCATATGTAAGACCAGCTACAAAAGAACAGAGTCATTTTGAGCTAAGCACTACCTCATCTTGCACCACTCAAATTTGGGTCTGGGTTTTTCCCACAAAGGTGTTTTGGGAATCCAGAACCCGAACAGCTAATAGATTTTATTTGGTTCAAACTTTAGTATTGTCCTGCCTCTAATAGCCCAACAAGCCCTTGGAGAAGCCTGTCCATCAGCAGACTCGGTAAGTCTCACATTAGTGTGATGGACACAAGTTCTTGTGCACACTAATGCTATAGTATAATTGATTTCTTATGTGAGTGCTGTGAACAAATATGGATTAGGAGCAGCAAGCTTATTTCTCAGTGGTGAACTCAATCCTTTCAACATCCCATGTCCCATCTTCCCTGTAGTGTTTCTTTAGCCTTTGTGGGCTTAATGTGCCAATGTAGCTGAATTTCTGAACTCAGGGCTTCTGGTGTTTTTGGGGGGTTTTTTTTGAAAACTACTAGTTTATCTTCAGGCCAGGCTGCTCACGCTGAATGACATCTCTTGTGTTCAAGGTTTGGTTGCCTGCAGTGAAGGCTAAAGGACTGGAGATCTCAGGCACATTCAGCCACAGGCAGGGACACATCTACATGGAGATGAACTTCACCAATAAGGCTTTGCAGCACATGACTGACTTTGCCATTCAGTTCAATAAGAACAGGTAAGAAACCAAAATCAATACAGTGTGTTCAAAAGACTGCATGCTCCTGTGAGAGGAGGTTGTGTCTGCACTGCTAGATCTAGGCAGGGCTTTTACACAGGTGTGAAATGCAGTCATGGAAGTAGCTTGGATGATACAGCCTGAACTCTCCATCACACCACAGTGGTGTTGAAAGGACTGAAAATACAGACTGATAAATCTGAGGGGAAACAGGCAGCAGACGGTCCCATCGCTCTCCCGGCTCTGAAACAGCATCTGCCCCATTTAATCTCTGTGGTTTTAAAGCAGCCTCCTGAGTTGTTAGGCAGGTTAGTGGTTTTATAGCCAGTGAGTGCCCTGAGGAAAACCAAGAGCATAAACAGGCAAGATCTGAGCTGCACAAGTATCAACCCGTAATGCCTCTGCCTCCTGACCTAATTGCTGTGCTGCCCCTCAGCCTGCCTGGAAGTACAGGGCTCATTAATAAAGCTGTTTGTCAGTGAAGAAGTTGCAAGTTAAGAGCCTGTGGCACATGTTTTCCCTGTAATTGGCAGCAGAACAGTTTTGTCAGAAGGAGCAGCCACTTGAACGTTTAGAGCATACAGATTGTTCTCAGAAACCCATCTCGGCCAAAGGACATGACATGGCAACACAGTCACAAAGCCTTCCCACAAATGCCCTTTCCAGTAAGAGCTTATCCTGTGGTTTTATGTTATCTTGAGCAAGGGCCAGGCTAGTTCTTATCAAGACTGTAAAGGGTATCTTGTGACTGAAATGTCCTCCCTGTTTTTTAATATCACTTCACTGCAAAAGGGTTCTCTACTGAAAATCCACTGAAACCATCTCTTTAATCACTGTTAGCCTTGCAAATTTAGCATTTCTTGGGACGAATAAGATTTACTTAGAAAAGACATTATGCTAAGTAAGTCTTAGTAAATGTTCTCCCTGGACTGTGATATTTTCTGGAGAGTTTTGCTAAGCTGCTATATGCAAATGTTTCTTGCAAATTAGCCTGGAAAAAAAGGCATTTTGTTTGTGATTTTCCCCCATCCATCAAGCTATGTTGTAGCCACACCTACATGGCTTCAAGGATATAAGAAGTTTAAATACTGTACAGTAAATCAACAGTTTTTCCTCTTTCAGCACAAGCTCCATATACAATCTACTACTATTTACTCTTTTACAAATGCTGTTCTCCTGTCACTGCTTTCCACTGTGGCTGGTGCATTGGAAAGAGCTGCTGAGGGCTGGTTCTTTCATTTTAAATATTAAGGTTTGTGATTGGGAAGTTTTTATTGCTTTTTCCCCCCCCTCTCCTGCTGCTACTAATTGCATTCACTGCAGTCTTGGGACAAAGCATTTAAAAAAAAAAATAAAAGAAAGCTAAAGCTCTGGAGTTCTGTAACATCACAGCCCCTTAGTAACAAACTGCAACTTTGGTTTCCCTCTGAGCCTTAGAGAAAATATGAGGGTTTGTGTCCTCCAGGGTGAAATGGCTGCAGAAGGCAAATCATGTGGCGAAGCCCTTGCTGAGAATATTCTTATTTCAGCTCCCTAGAGCTGAAAAAAACTAAGGAGAACCAAGAATGGGGCACTTACTGGTTTCTGAAGAAGTGAAAAATCCAATAAATGTGGCTGACTCTGTGCAGAGGCAGTATCAGGTTTTATAGTGAATAAAGTAAAAATACACACCTGTACATCCTGTAAATGCTCTGTGACCTCTGAGCTCATGTGGATTCTGCTAAAGAGAAAGGCATTTATGTATGGACACCAAACCATGTGCTGTTGGAGAGCAGTGGGTACATAGTACAGGAGTACTGATTTCCCTCTTTGCCACACTAAGCAGAGGTGCCTGTGGAATTAAGTGTCTTCTGGACTGAATGGTCAAGTGAGCATTGCTTGGTGGGATAAATCCCAGTGAAGGAGCCTCCAGCCACGTGGCTGAGCCAGGTGCTGTCAGTTGTGACTGGCTACTCTGGTTCATTTGTTCTGCAGTGCTGTTACCAACCCACATGTTCCTCCCTGGCTATTTATTTAATCTGTGTAGGCTTCAGTTCCTTCTTCCATAGCTCCCAGTGAAACAACAGCCATTAAGTGTGTGATATACTCTACCTGCAGTGCTCTCCAGCTCTGTAAGAGAGAACCAGGAGGCCTGACTGAGTCCAGGTGCTGATCCTTGCTGGGCAGGCTGGTGCTCAGCACACAGACCTGCAGGTAATGGGAGAGTTCCCAGGTGCTGGTCCCTGGGCAGGATGGTGTGTGTTGTCAACAAGACCAGCCTGAATGAGTTTCCCATGCCTTGTCCTACTTCAAGTGTCTACTTGTTTGAGCTCTGTTCCTTCCCTGGAGTAAAGCAGGGGCAGCTCAGGAGTAATGGGAAGGGGAGCCAGGTTGTGCTTGGCAAAAGGGGAGTAGTGTTGGGCAATGCAGTGCTGCTCTCATCACCTCTGTTTTTCTCTTGCCCAGCTTTGGGGTCATCCCAAGCACCCCACTGGCCATTCACACACCTCTGATGCCAAACCAAAGTATTGATGTCTCCCTGCCCCTCAACACTCTGGGACCAGTCATGAAAATGGAACCTCTGAACAACCTCCAGGTAAGAGTTGTCTCTTTCTGGGCAGGGGGGAGATGAGCTGGTGCTCAGCCCAGTTTGTTTGGCCCAACATAGTGTGGTAAGACTCTAGTCACAAAATACCACATGGATTTGGTCCATGAGTCTGCCCAAAACTTAGTCCAGTTCCTTTCTCTAGTCTCTCTCAGAAGGACTGAAACAGAGACTTAGTGAATTTTGTGAATTTTCAAGCACCTCAAGCTTGAAAAACTTGCACCTGTGTAGATTAAAATCTTTGTACCAGTAACACTGTTCCATAAACTGGGCATGAGGTTTGGTTGGACTTATGAACTGGAGCTGGTCTGAGCAGAGCAAGTGCCTGTGGTGGAGCAGGCAGCGAGAGCTGTCAATGAGAATTGAGGCAATTAAAGGAATTGCAGGAAAGATGGCAACTGCTGAGTGATTAATATTTCTCTAGTGCTCTTAAGTACCAGGGTGCTTTATAAAGGCATTGGCACATCTCTGCCCCAGATAGCTTAATCCAAGGCAAATGATGTGTTCCAGGAAAGGCAGAGGAGAAATGACGTAAGCAGCCGATGTTTCATTAATGAGGGTGTTGGTGCACGGCAGGGACAGCATTCCCCAGAGGAGGCTCTTTATCAGATTGGGCTGTCAATCTGATAAAGACAGGACAGATCCAGGGAGATGTTCCCCTCTGCTTTGGACCAGACTGTCTCCATCAGTCCTGGCGTGCCTCAGGGGCAGTGGGCTGGAAGTCATCAGGCAGACAGCTCTCCCTGGAAGGAGGCTCTTCCCCTCTGCTGCCATGTGCAGCCACTCTGTGGAGCAGAGTTCAGCAACTCCTACCTCTGCTCTGGGCAAGCTGTGTCCTCCAGGATGATATTCCCAGTATCCCCAAAGATGCAGTTAACTTGGCATTGTAGCACCTCTCACTCACCTCAAGTCTCCAGGAGATGGAACTGGGTTGGGTTCCTGTAGCGTAGCAGCCCATAAAGGGGAATATTTTGAAGCAGCTCATTCTCTTTTTAGATTAAGAGAATGCAATGGAAGTTACTATTTATTCTGCCTGAGCAACTGTTTTTTCCCTTCTTTTGACTTCCATTCTGGGGCTTATGACTTATTGATGAGTCTTTGGGCAAACAGCTTGAAATAGCTCCTCTGGCACTCAAACGAGCAGTCCTACACCGAGCGCAGTCATGCGATGGGGGAGCACGCAGACAGTGAATGAATTACATGGTGTGGCTTCCACAGAGGGCCCTTCCAGCCTCGGGGAAAAACTGGGCTCCCTCTGTGTCCAGGTCATGAGGATGAGGTTCCATTGCTGCATTTGGGTCAGCTGTGGTAAAATCTGCCTCCTGCTCCGAAGGAAATTTGGAAGTCTCTAGGAGGTGACAGTCCCGCTCAGCCTCCGTAACACCAGGGACTGTCTCAACAAGGCAGCCTCAAGTTGCTGCTTCCTTTGATCAGCAAGGAAGTGAAGTATTTGGGTTATTAAATCTCTGAAGAAATGGGAATGCAGTTTGTTTCTTGTAGCTTCTTCTGCTAGAACAAAGCAAGGAGAAAACATGGGAGGAAACCTCCAGCCACCTTCTATTGAGACAGTGGAGCATTCATTAGTGCCAGACTCAGTTGCTAATTTGCTAAAGCTCTCATTGCCACAGAATTTGGCTGCCCTTTTACAATTGGGGAAGCTGCCATATGGAGTAATAGTATATTTCTCTGCAAAGAGTTGAATCACAATAGCAGATGCCAAGTTAAAAAGAGCACTCCCCTTACTTTTTTGACAGCAGTGGGTTTGATGGAGTTCTGTCACTGCCCTGACAGCCAAGGCTCTGGTTTTGTTTTGTGAGTTCATGTAGAAAGGGTTGAAACATTCAGAAATCGTTTTGGTGACCTACTTAGGGAACAATTTATAGCATAATATAGGAGTAGAGAATACAAATGTTCCTGTATTCATTGAAGAACCAAAACACTCATCAAGTTGAATTTGCTTAATGCGTTTTTTCTGAGCTGGGGAACATTGGAGCAGATGCAGGGCTGATTTGAACCTGAGGACCTTATGTTCATCTCCTATTCTGGTGGGGGTTTTTTTGTTTTAGTAACAAGAAAAATGAGTCCTGAAGTAACCAAACTGATAGCTTTCAAGTTTTTGTCATGTTAATTAGAAACTTCAAAGACTAGTTCTACATTCTTTAGGCAACTGTTTCAGAAGTAATGAATTCAGGTCTTGTTCAGGTTATTTTTATTACCATTTCTAATCTTTCACCTGATACAGCTCATTTAATCTTAACATTTGTAATCATGGAAAGAAACTAAAATATTTGACAAGGTAACAAAAAAGCCACTTTTGCAAGAAGATGAGGAAGACTGAAATATTTTCAGAGGCTCACTTAGGTAAAATATAACTGAGTCTTCTGTTTGCCAGTGACCTTGCATCTTGTGAAACTCAATGCCAAGTTTCTCCCTCACATCCCAAATTAGAGATGATAATTTTCTTGACCCGTTGACTCAGATTTAACCCCCAGTCAAACAGAGATTTATTCAAAGAGTAAAGACAGAGTTAGACTGGACCCAACACTGTAGGGCTGAACAAACTCCAATCCCTGCTCGCTGGTTCATCTCTCACTTCTTAGAGATTAAAAATCTGCTGTCAGGTGCCTTTGGAGTGTGCCTGTTGCTGAAGAAAATCTGATTTAATTGTTTGTGTACTGCCAACTTCTGCTGGGGGACACTCTTGTAGTGCCTTGTCAGCATTTTGGAGGCAACCTGGCACTTGTGGGTGCTGTGTTCCCCTGCCCAGAGCCACCTCTGCAGAACATGGCATTTGTAAATGCTAACAAACTCTTGCCCAGAGGTTCTTGAGAGGCTACATTGAACTTCCTGAGTGTTTGCCAGCCATGGAGATGACTCTGGTAGTTGTACAGGCTTGCCTGGGTCCTTTACCTGCCTTTTCACAATCAAAGCAGTGATACCCCTCTGGTGACATGTGGGCTGTTAGGGTCACACCTGGTGGAAGAGTTGGGCTGAGTGAGGTATATTTGCCACCACGTGTTTGAGACTTTCAGCTCTCAAAGAGGAAATTGTGTTTTTTGAAATAGGGATTTGCACCGGTGAGGAATATTAACTCTTTTCAGATATTTTGAGTCAAATTTGGAGTTAGAAAATGACCGGGTTGAGAACCTTTCTGTGCTAAAGTGAACCACTGTCCCTAACAAACAGCCTTTTAAGGGCTATGAAATGCTGTGAAATTGGAATACCCATCTAGGGGCACAAGAGTTGCTCCCCTAACCCTGGAAATAGGTGAAGTGGAGCCAACCTGCTGCAAGAGTTTCAGAGCTCAGGCCTGGCCTGTCATAGCACAGATATGGTAATCTCTTCTGTGAGGTGACAATCCCTTGCAGGAGACAATACAATTGAAAACAAGCTGCAGGGGCTCCTGGAGCAGTAGCAGGGCTGCCTGAGGCTGGAGCCACCCCTTGGGACCCACATTCAGAATTCCCCATCAGTGTGTCCCATTCTCCAGCATTACCTGCTGTTTGTTGCACCTACTGAGCCATGCAACTGAAAGCAGCATAGCTTCAGTTTTCCAAAATGCCTGTGAGATGATCTGATGAGCATGGAGAGGGAAGAATCCACCAGCTGCATTTCTCTCTGGAAAGTGGCACTTTGAAACACAAACCTCTCCCTTGCTGCTGAGCAGTGTGAGGTGCAGAACGCTTCGGTTTCTTGCAGTGAGTTTGGCAAAGGGTTTTTCTAAAGGCAGAGGAAGGTGCAGCTTCTTCATTGAGGAAAATACTGACCTTGCTCATGCACTAGATCGTGCTTATCCTTCCACACCCAGCTCTGCGGTAACTCATCGCCTGTGCTCCTCCTCGCAGTGCAGAACCACTGGAGCTCTCATTCATCAGAGCTGTTAATGTATCTCAGGGCACAAACAGAGCACTCAGTACTTGGAAACAGATTTCACACATTCAGCTCTCCATGAAAACAAAGTGTGAGCAGCAAGTCCAGCCAGCAGATGTTCACCCTCCAGAGCCTCCTTGATAAACGACACCGTATCTGCCCGTGTGTGAGCTGTGTCAAAATCACTGACCAACCACCACACATCAGCCTGGGGTGGCTAGAGGGGGAAGGTGCTTCGTTGGGTTTGTTGCCTAGGTTATATTTTAACAGTCTGTACTCGTGAGAGTCTTACTTCAGCAAAGAATCCTCCTGGGAACTCCCTGAATTAGGGACTTGGATCACAGCGTGGCGTCTGCGGCCAGTTCCTGACTCGGCTGGGAAAGCTGTTGGTTTGCTGGTTAAGGGCCCGTCTGCCACATGGTGCAGCATATTTGATAAAATGTGCATTTTGAACTCCAAGTACAGCAAGGCACACGACAGTGTAACCCTCCCAGTAACTCTGTGTTCCCTGACCATTGACGTAACCCAGCCTTGCTGCCTGTGCCCCGCTCCAGGCTCCTGCCTGGAGGCAGAGCATCCGCCTGGCAGCGGCTGCAAACACCCCTAGGATCCCAAGAACCCTCCCTGTCACACCAAATGAAGTGAAGGAGCAGCATTCCCTGGGGGTATGTGACAGGCAGAGCAGCAGACTGTCACAGAACAAACCGTGACCTTGTGCTGGCAGAGGTAAAAAAGGCTCTGCAGTGGAGAGTTGTTCTCGCCTTGACAGTTTGGCTGTTACCAGACTCTAAAGCAAAACCCAACTTGAAGTAAATCCTTAATTTAGTGTAGGTGCTAATGGGATTCCAAGTGGGTATGTTGTGTACTTGCTGCTGATGGAAAGCATCTGTGTTGCTTTCAGACTTGACTTTGAAAGTCAGTTCTTATGCTCAAGTCTGGGATTTAAAGCATCAGAAACCTACACTATTGAAGAAAATAGCTTAACCTTGTTCTTGTGAGGTACCTCTTCCCCAAAATACCATATGTTGGCTCTCAGAGAGTTGCACTTCAAGGAAGGTCACCAGAAGGGTGCTTGTGCTACAAGGTGAGCAAATATGTTCCAGGGGTTATTTCTAGAGGTGCTGGTTCCTCTAGTCAGATCACGAACTAGACATAAGTGATTTGAAACCCTGTGCCAGTTTTTAGTGGGCTCACACCTTTTCATCAGTGAAGCATCACACAAAAATCTGTCACCTTTTGACTTCTATCCCTCAGAGCTTTGTAGGCTGCTTGACTAAATTCACAAGGTACTAATATTTTTTTTCCTCTTGAAAAGGTTGCTGATAGAAAGCCATTTTTATTAAAAATGCTTCTGTTTCAACTCTGAAATGTCTGAGGCTGAAGGTCTAGCTAGAGATTTAATAGTTCATGTCCAGGTCAGCAGGTTAAAGCTGCAGAGCCATGAGGAAATTTAGTGTGGACTGGAGGATTTATGGAATGCAAGTAGAGGTTTCTTTCGAGCGTGTCAAACCTGGAGAGACTTCTCAGCTACTGATATCACTTCAAATGTCATTGACTGTCTCAGGACAATGTTCCTACCTGAGGAGCACTGGATTTTTTTGGCAAGTTGCTGTTAGCTGCTCGGTTTCTTGCAGGCACTCCTGTGGATCTGCTTTGTGCCTGTGGTTGCTTTTGTAGCCTGTCAGATGGCATTGGATGCTCCTGATGTGGAGCAAAGCATGACCCTGGAAAGCTGCTATTGACTGGGAGAGCTTCTTAGCTTTTCCTTGGTGCAAGTTCCCCCATCCAGGTATCCGCAGGTGCCTTTTCATGGACCAGATTTTGTGGGCCACAGTGCTAACAGGGCATACCTGGCTTTTCAGGGGAAGTGTGGGGTGTTGAACGATGGAAGCTTATCTTGAAAAGCTCACCAGCCTTGTCCTGGTGCTGTGGGTTTAAGGAGACCGTAGCCTTTTCCTTTCCTGTTTGCAAAAGTTATTTGTAACAGCTGGTTCCTGCATCATTACAGATGCTTGCAAGGTGACACGTGATGTCATTACTGGACCCAGTGATGCAGTTTGGGAGGAAGGCTGGCATGTGGCTTGATTTTTCTTTACTGGGAAGAAATTGCACTTCAGAGCATCTTAATTGGGTAGCTCTCCAGAGTATAGCCAAAGCAGCTTACTCAGTATGTTTCTGCAGAGTTGAGAAGCAGGTCAGCAGATACCTTTTTATAGCATCCTTATAACTGCAGGGACAGGGTTGGCATATTAATTTGGAGTGTGCCTCCCAAACCGTGACTGGAGAGAAGGCTCTGCTTTCCAGCCCCTCTTGTAAGAAACTGCTGTTGTATGGCAACAACAATTAGCTACAAAAGCTAAGTAATCTCTGTTGTTCTAAGGCAAGGCAATTAATCATTAAATCAGAACTGGAAAAGATCCTGGGTCACGCAGTGTAGTCCCTGCTCTGCTTTGTTGTTTTTCTACAGTTCCTCTTATTGAGAGCATTGTCAAGGCTGATTTTAGATAGTCCAAGCACTGGAGCTTCTCTCTTCCTCAGAGGAATTTTGTGCTGCTTAATAATTCTCACTATCATTTTTCCCAGACATTTAGCCTAAATTTTCCTTCTTCTGGCTCATCTCCATGATTTATATCCAAGCATAGCATCTGGAATGGCTACACTGCTGTCCTTTCCCCAGCTCTCCCCTCCCAGACTTGGAGGTGTGTGTTTTTGGCTACTCACCCAGTGTGTTCAGTCACACATTTTGCAGAGGTGAATCACGTTAAATCCACCCACCAATCTGCTTTTACCCCCCTGGCTTTGGTGCCTCCAGCTCAAACACTGAACACTCCAACTCGTGAGCGTGACGCCAGCAATGGGAGCATGTAACAGCTCCCTGGTGCAGAGCACCATTGCCAATTTTTTTTCTCAGTTGCACCATCATTTACGTGGTTTTAGTGGGCTTTAAACTAATCCCTTCTTAAGCTGGCTTGCACTGTGGGAATTAAATTTGTTACCTTTACTGATGGCTGGAAGTAGAAACACCACAGACTGTCACATCTACCTTTCTGCAGTTCTTTGCACTTCTAGGACCTTCCCAGTTGCCAAAAGAGTTTGTTTGAGAGCTTGATCTCCTTTTACTTGTCCTCTGGCTTGTGTGCATGTCTAATCAGTTGTCTTGTGTTTGAATTCTCTGGTTTATTCCCCTCCCTTGTTTATCCACAGCTGGCTTTTACCAACATTTGGGGGTGTCTTTCTAAACTTGACACTGTGTGACAACAGATTTTCTCAGCAGGACACCAGTAAATTGTAATTAATGTCAATGGAGTTTGTCTTGGCATAAATCTTTGTAGCAGCCAACTTATCCCTTTGGCTCAGCGTTTAGCATGGTCTGGTTTGTGTTTCAGCTCGATGGCGAGTCAGAGAACTCCTTCTGGGGCTTTTCAAAGGAAGGAGGAGCTCAAATGTCTCCTGAAATTCCCCACACGGCCTCAATTCTGGGTCTTTCTTACAGACTTTAGGTTCCTTCGTTGGGAGCAATGGCAGGTGTGTGCTGAGCTGTACTCCCCTGACAGGCTATCGCTGCGCGGGCTGACGTGGGGAGAGCGTGAGAGGCATGGAAATAAAGCCCAGAGCTGCCTTTTTCTGTGCTACATTATGACAGTGCACTTCTCAGACCTCCAGTTTGCTCCTGCTTTTGTGCCCTCAGCTCTCAGCCTGGGGAGAACTGAAGGCAAGGTTGCTCTCTGTTAGCAGAGATTAGTGGGGAACATGGCAAGTGTGTGTGATAAAGGCAAACCAGTGCATCTCCCTGGCTGGCAGAGTTTAATGACACTGAGAATTAAGTCTTTTGTGAAGTGATCTTTTGTTGCCTGCCCTAATATCTCTGTGGCAGGGCTTTCTTCTTCCAGGAATCCTGTATAGCTTTCACTAAGGTAGAGGCAGGAGGCTTGGGAGATGCTGCAAGGAAGATGCGGGCAACAGACCCACTTGAGGCTCTCTAGAAAGTGTCTGGACTGAGACAGAGCTAATCAAAGAGGTGAAAAATAAGGAAATGAAGTTGCAAATAAACAATACACGGGGGTTTGGAGCTGGGGAGTTACAAGAGTGAGATGGCAAAGAGGGGTGCTGAAGAAGCTGATGTGCAATATGACAGACACAGTAGCATCTGTGTGCAGCCCAGAGCTGGGGATGTACCTTGGAAGTGTAAGGAGTGAGGAGAGGGAGAGGCTGGACAAGAGCAGGAAAGAGCAAGGATGCTGCTGTGAGCCCATCAGTGCAATTGGCTCTGAAGCAGCAATGGTGAAAGGCTCACAGGAGAAGATTGGGCAGCTTTTAGGGAAAATGGAGTGAGTGCAGAGGGCTGGGACCAGTCCTTGTCTGAAACTACCCAGAAGCTCAGTAACATCCCTCCAGGGAGTCTCACATTTGGAGATGGCCAATGCTCAGAGAGAGCACTCCAGGGTGATGAGCCTGTGTGAAACTTTGTGATCCCTTTGGATTTCCAGCTGATGGAGACTCTTTAACCTCCCTGTTTCTTCTCTAACAGGTGGCTGTGAAAAACAACATCGATGTCTTTTACTTCAGCTGCCTAATTCCTCTCAACGTGCTCTTTGTAGAGGATGGCAAAATGGGTGAGTGCTTTTAGGTCTGTGGTCAGGCTCCTCCAAGACAGATTGTGCTGGCAGTGCCCAGCTGGGTGCAGTTGTCTCATGGCTGAGATCAGTATGTGCTTGGCAATGACCTTCGTGCCAGTGCATCTCTCAGCCTGAATTGATCTGCTTTGGTAGCCTGCCCTTGTTGTCCTCCAGTTCCAAGAGCTGCCAGAACCTACATCTTCTGCTTTGATTCTCTCTGCCAGGCAAGGGACAGATCTGTTTTCTTTGAGGTGGATTTTTTGAGTATTGGTTTGGGTTGTTGTAGTTTTGGGTTTTGTTGTTTTGGGGGTTTTTTGAGGGTTTGATTCACTCAAGTGGGTCTAGAATTTGCCCCCATACCACTTTCACTGTAATTTTTGTATTCCTTTATTGAATTGTTGTTTGAATTGGCTGGGAAGTTACTTGAAAAGCAGCTTTCACTAACATAATCCTAAATGTGTGGATCTTGCTCCTTCTTGTCAAATCTTGCCTGTTCTTGGCTTGTAAACAGCTCATATGTTAAAGACTGTCTCTGTTTTTTGGGGGGCCAAAATCCATCAAAGCTCTGGTGCTTTTACAGTGAGACTGAGGTTGTTGTGGGAGCAAATCCTGGGTCTGTCCACAGCAGGGCAAAAAGTGACCACAAGCCCTTTTGTGTGTCTGCCTTGAAACATTCTGTGGTGTGTTAATTAATGCCGTGGCCCTTTGAGGATCCCACGGTGCTGATCGTCTCTCTCGTTTCTAGAGCGCCAGGTCTTCCTTGCAACATGGAAGGATATTCCAAACGAAAATGAGCTTCAGTTCCAGATTAAAGACTGTCACCTGAATGCTGGTGAGTAGCTTAATTCTCCCGTGCTGAGAGCACTTTTGATGTAGGGCCACTAAACATCACCTCATTAATATCACCTCGTTAAAATAACCTCATGGTTAATGAATAGATGACTTTTGAACAGAACAGCCTTGGCTTATGAACAGAGCAGCCTGGGATCCCAGGGCTTGTTTCAGTGAAAAATTTCAGCTGGGTCTCCATAAAAGCACATCTAAAATCCCAGGTCTTTGATTTTACCGATCTGTTTCTTCCTTTCATTCTGGGCCTTGTATTCTTGTTTTCTCTTTTATACTTTGCTTCCCTGCAAAGCTGCTCTTTAAATAGAGCTGAATACGGTGCTGGGGCTGTTAGGCAACCCTGTCTTGCTGCTGTGAGTTTTGGACAAGGTGTTCCAGCCCGACTTTAACCTTCTGCATCATCCTGGGCCACTCACTTCACTTTTTGGCAGCTCCTTTCTTCTTTTTGTTGTGAAAGAGTAACCCTGCATAACACTATAAGGTGGTGTAATGTCTGTGGAGGACAGGCCATGTGAGAAGAGCTTTGGTCTGCTGTTGTTAGCTGAGATATTGATGCATTTTGATGAAATTTGGTCCTGTTCAGTCTGTTTAGCCATCTAGTTACCTCTGTGAGCATCCTGCTTGTACGTATGACCTTACTACTGCTGAAGGATGATGGAGTGTAAAAGAGTGGAATGGGGCCAGTGTAGCAGCTTTGCTCCTGTTCAAAAGGTTCTGGACAGGAGCCAAGTGATTCTACCAAAAGCTGCTGTGTTTCACAAATGAAAGAAGTGTCCCTATTGATTACCAACCCTGTAACCTTTTTGTTCTCTCATGCCTGCTATTACACAATGAACACCCTCGTGCTTCAATTGCAGACAGAAACCATGGGTCTCTTTGTACTCATGATTATTACTATTTTGGAATATAAAAGATGGAGCACGGAAGAGGAGGAAAAAAATAGCAGCTGTTGGACCTTATGACTTGATTTCACTGTGGGGTTTCAAATGAGAACAACCTCGGGTGCCTCCCCCAGCCCTCCCTCTGCTCCCGGCCGAGCTTGGCATCGCCTCTCCCCCTGCACTGCAGAGCTGCTGCTGGTGGTGCCTTCTGCCCTGGCCATGTCCTGACTGCATCCAGGGCTCTTCATCGCCAATCAGAAATGCTAGAAGCTTCCCATGTTTGGTGTCAGAGTGCTGGCTAGCAGAGGATGTGGGTTGGGAGGGAGAGAGGAGGGGTGCATGGCTGGGAAGATGAGCCCTGGCAATCCTGCAGCCTGGCCTGGCCCCTTCCTCCCTCCGGAAGAAAATGCTATAAAATGTGGAGCGACAGAACGCTCCCCATTCCGGGAGGGTTTGCCAGTCCAGGCCTGCCTGAACTGGGGATACTCAGAGCAGAACATGTTCCCAGCTTGCAGGGAGAGGACGGGAACGCCGGGTGGTTTCTCTGCAGTGGGATCTGCAGGCACTGCCAGGCTCGGGCGGGAAGAGCCTTGGCCGCAGAGCCTCTCCCAAGAGCGATCCGTCACTCGGGATGCTGGGGGGTGTGTGGGATCTGCCAGCCTCTCTGGCTTGTGTGCTGCAGAAAGTGGGTCATGTCTCATAAACAGATTTCAAACCCTTCCATCCGCTGAAGGTTCCGTTTCTGGATTTCCGCTGCCGACACCTCCTCCCTCTTGCAGCTCCACCGGCCGCTCCCTTCCTTGACCGCCTGGGTTTGGGCACGGAGCAGGCCGGTAGCTTGCAGGAAGGATAACTAGGGAAATCTTGTGTGCTTGTCTTAGTCCCTTTGGATTTTATCTACCCTGGCTCAGTCCACTCACCTTGATGTCATCTGAGCAATACCCTCCTCTAGTTTCGACCATCCTGAGAGCATCGAGCTTTGCCTGTACAAGGATCAGCCAGAGCCCAAAACCCATGGGGTGCTGGCCTTCCAGCATCCTCAGGGATGGAGGCTTCTCACAGCATGGCAAGCTGCTGTTTGCAGTGGCAAAGGCAGAGTAAGCTGGATGAGCTCTGACAACAGTTGAATCCATCTTGCTACTAGTTTACTCCAGAGCAAGGGTGTGTCTGGCCACCTGCCACAGTCGGGTGATAATGTTTCAAGATTCACAGTCTTGATCATTTAAACCCAGTGAAAATAGTAGAAAAGACACTTCCTTTCTTCCAAGAAGAGCAACTCCGGGTATAAAACTTTTAGGAACTTGATCCCTTTGGAGGAAAGACCGGTTCATGTTCCAAAGACTCTCCTAGGAGAGGTGTCTAACCAGTTAAGCTCTCGATTTGGGCTCGGTTGTTCTGTTGCTCACTCATGACACACCACCACGTGCAGCTCACGTCACTGCACAGATTAGGGTTCACAGTGGTCATGTGGCAGAGCTGCACAAAACTCACTCCAGATTTCAGCAGCTCCTCTCCAAACGTGAGGAGATGCTGGGTTTGTGCAGTCCTTCAGCACAGCGAGAAGCTCGTGAGCACTGCTGGCTCCACAGAGGTGTGAGTTGTTATCCCTCCTTGCATGTGCTCAGATCACTGATTCATGCCCAGGATCACTGATTCATGCCCAGGATCACTAATTCATGCCCAGGATCAGTAATTCATGCCTAGCATGGGCCCACCCACTCGGTGGCGAGTGCTCAGGGACGCACCGTGCCATTCATGCTTCGGTCTCACCGATTCCAGCCTGGTGACGTGAATTCAGCTGTGAGCTAAAAATACCTCTGCTCCCAGCTGATGTGCCCTAAGGCAGCTCCACCAGCTACTTGGAGCTGTGGCTGCAGCAGGGTTTGGATGGAGCAGAGGGTGCCAAGCTGGGCTGCTGGGCAGAGGCTGATCAGGAGTGTGGTCCCTGCACCCTCGGTACGTGGCTTTCCTTCTCCCAGCTGCAAACAGCCTTCAGTTCCCTGAGTGTTCCCATCTGTGCTGCTTCTGCACCGTGTGAGAAGTGGAGCTTAAGTTCTGTGTGGATACACAGGAGCTAACCAGGGGATGCTGCTATTCTTCAGTGAAGAAACTGAAATTGTAATTTCTTTCTCTCTAAACCAAAGTGAGATAGGCTTGGAACAGGGATTTGTGAGGGGCTGGGGTTTTATCTGTCAGAAAAGCAGCTTGTGCGTTTCTTGTACATCCAGGGCTGTCTGTCACCGTGCAACAGTCACCTTACAGCACCTCCTGTGCAAACTGAAGGCTTTTCCTCAGGTTATTGCTTTTCTTCCTTCAAACAAAAAGGAGATAAACACAGTCAGTCAGCAGAGGTGCTTCTGTGGGAGTCTGTGCCTCTGTAGGTAAAAGATCCATCCTGTGCCCACAAGGCAAGCCAAAGAGGATTGATTTGAGCTTTGATGGCTTGCAACAGGGATGGCACAAAAAAAAGCTCCTTTGCCTGGCAGCTCACCCCAAAACAGTGCACAGGACAGCCAGAAAATCTTGGCTGCTGCAGGAAGCCCACAGCACAGCAAGCTGAAGCCAAGGGTAAGGTCCAGGCTGTGGGATGAAGGGCAGGTATCCTTAAGTGGGCAGAGCAGGCCACTCTAATCCATGACTCCAGCATCTTCATTTCCAAAAAAAAAAAAAGCAAATCCTGGACCTTTGAAGGTATTCCTGCTGTTCCCAGTGACTCAGTGAGAGATGAGTGCTTAATTCTGGATTTGGGGGTTGGATTCCCAGGGGTGGGAGCTGGCACTGGCCTGAGGCTGTTCCTGAGGGCTGTATGGCCACGGAGGAGCCAGTCTGGAGCTGTATCATGGGACCAAGGTGTTCTTAGGATGCATGGCACATCTGAAATTCATTAGAGCCGTTTCATGCACCTGCCTCTTCGGAAGAGGTTGGGATAGTTCCGTGGAGAAAACTTTATTCAGAAATAATGAAAGCACAAGGTCATTGTTACAGCCCAGCATCCTCATCTCTTATGAATCCAGCACTAAATTAATTGATTTGGGGAGGGTTTTAATGAACATTCAAGAATCTAGTGCATGAAAATAGATTCCTAGTCTGTTATAGCTCTAATACTCTGGGTGCTTTTGGTGCAACTTAGACCATCTGAGATTTCCTCTGTAATTGAGTGTGCACTAAAGCTCAGTTTGACTTGTTTACACTGTTTTTAAAATGTGCTAAGTTTGACTAAATTTTAAAGGATCACCACATTAGGATATGCAAATCAGATTAGCTAAATGTTTTTCTTTTTTTTTTTTTTTGGTAATTCTGCTTACCCAAACCCACAGAGTAAAAGAGGACAAGCTGGCTTGCACATGAAGACTGAGTGCCATTAAATGGGAGGCAATTAGTTGCTGTGCTGTTCAGCAGTTCTAGGAATTTTGGTTTTACTTGCTTATTACTTGTCCACAATTTGGTGTGAAACAGCAGCTTTTGTGTTTGGAGTTGGATGTGGCTTTATTGGTATGCAGTGGTCACTTTGTTTTTCTCCCTTGAGTAATTTGCTAATGCCAGAACAAAGAGAAATTGGATTTTTTTGATGAAACAACCTGGGGGACAATCATACACAAGCTTCTGTGGTATGTTGTTTTCTTCTGTGTGTGCAAATCTTGTACCTGATAGTTTTATAAATTACAGCACTAGTGCATATTACATGTCTTGAAAATTAATGAACTGTCATCATATTGCCCCAAGTGCCTCCCCCCTGCATCAGAGTCTGCATTTTGTATTTGAATGCAGTTCTTGGCTGGATGCTCAGAACCATTGAGGTGGTGCTGGAAATGGCATGGGGATGTTCTCAGCTACCACAGCATAAAATATAGTCATTAAATTTTCCTTTCTGATATCCAGGGCTTGTTGCAGAATGCCACCAAGTTCAGAAAAGGTGTATTGTTGATGTTGACTGTGAATTATTGCATGTCCTTCACAAAAACCCCGTGGTTGCCAGTTGGTCATCTTGGCTGTTTGAGTTCAGAAGTGAAGTTCTTAAGCTGATGGGTAGAATATTTAAGCATGTCCTTTGCTTTACCCATAAGGAAAGTGCCGTTAAAAAGCATTGGATCACTTCAGTGCAAGGGAGGAGAGGTTGTCCAGCTGTTCTCCCCTGCGTGCCTGTGTTTCCTTGTGCATTATTTAATTGCTGATCTGAGGTAAAGAATTCTGTTTAGAAAGCAAAAGAAACAAACCCAAAAACCCAACCCTGAAAGATGAACTGATGTTAGAAGTTTCCCTGGCCCTGGTGATGGGCAAATCTCCCTGTGTCCTTACATTTCACTTCAGGAAGGTTGTGAGAACAATCCCTGAGCCAAAAGAAAAAGCCCTGCAGGAAGTTGCTGCGCAAGGTCAGGTGTGGACTGTGCATCTGCCAAAGGACTCATGTGCTCTGGTTTGCAGAGTCACCAACCCCCAGGGTCACTCAGCCCTCCTCCTGCCTCGCTGGGGCTCTGGTGGGTGCTGTGCTCTGGCTGTGCAGAGCTGGGCTCAGCTCTCTGCTCCCAGCAATAACTGCCTGGGTTTATTAGGTTTTTTTTAAAGGCTGTGCTGTCACATGGCATTAGCGGTCCTGCCTTCAGCCAGGCACAGCCTGGCACTGTTGCTTAGCAACTCTGATGATCTCCAAAATCCAAATTCCTGATACTTCAGAGAGCAGGAGGGACGGGAGATGCTACCTGTGGGGAGAGGGGGTCAGCTCTGGCCAGTCCCCAAATCGGTGCTGAGAGAGGTGGCAGGAGGAGTTGGACAAGCCAAGCATCAGCTCCAGCCTGCTCACGTTGGTGGGGGTACCTGGCTGAGGCAGGGCATGTTTTGGTTGGGCTTTTTGCTCTCTTCAGAGGGTGACTGAGGTCAGACAGGGAAGCAGAAAACAGGCTTTCCTAGGAATTGCCCTGCCTCACTTTCCCTCCTTGTATCCCCTTACAAGCATGTTCCTCCTTGGAAACCTGCCCCTCAGCAAAGGCTGTGGATGTTTAAATTGCAAGAGGAGCCATCACACAAGGGGTTTGGCATAAGAGCTGCTGCTCTGCAGCCCCATCTCACCAACTGTGCTCCCAAAGCACAGCTCCCCTCCTCTGCCATCACACCGTGGGATGGGGTAGCAGCCTCACAGCTGCCAAAATTACAGCTGCTCACTTGCAGCTGTGCTTCCAATCCTGCACCCCCTGGTCCCCAGGGAATGCCTTTTTTCCAACAGCATCCCCCAGTGGAGGGGAGACTGCTGTGGCCGATGTAATGATGGCAGGAGAAACTCCTTGCCAGTAGTTCCACCTTCAGGATACATGTCCAGGGGGGTGAGGTTTAACCCACAGCCTGTTAAAACTGGGCAAACAAAATCCCGTTTAATTTCAACGTCCCTCTCCGACAAGGATGTACCCTCTGAGCAGGTGCCTGTGCTGGACACTGAGCCCTCACAAACCCTGCAGGCTGCTCTCGCTCTGGGGGGAATGAGGAGATGGGAATTTAAGCTTCCTCCTCGCTGGGTGATGTCTCTCCCAGCCACACTTTCTGTGAGGGGACTGCTCTGCATTGCCTGTTTCCTTAGTCTGGATGAGTTTGTTGTGTAGAGGAGGAGTATGGGTGGGAGGAGGAGACAGGGAATGAGGGGTTTTAAGCAAAAGATCTCATTAGTTACTTATATCTGCCAGTTTCCATAGTAACTGGGGAAGAGAGGAAGCCTAAATCTGAGTGTGTCTGGGTAGCTGGATGCCTGAACCGTCCTCGACCCGTGTGTAGCTCTCTGAAGCCTGGGGAGCAGCGGGGCTCAGCGAAGGGTCCAGGCTGCCCATGGAGCCGCTCCACAGCTCTGGTTATCAGCCCTGCCCTGGGGAGAGACAGCGGATCCAAGTCTCTGCATCAGGGTATGGATTTGTGGGGCCCTTTCTTTCCTCCTTCCACCATTCCCTGGTGCATGAACAGGCTCTGCTGTCCCCCCTTTAATCCCCCCGTGTGCCAGCACAGACTTGTGTCCGTTCTCAAATCTGGCACAGGCAGATCTTGGTGTTTGTAGGGGCAGGGGTGGATTAGAGCTGCAGGGTTACTTTGCTGCTTCTCTGCTGCTGTCCTGCTCCCTGTGCTCCTTGAGATGGAAACTACATTTCCAGTCTCTGGGCGTTCAGTGCAAGCTGGTTTAAGGCTGTTTCTCTCCCTTGTTTTTTGTCAAAAGTACCCAACCTGCTAGTAATGGCCCAGCAGGGAGTTAAATTTCTCTTATTGGGCACCAGGAATAGGAATTTGCCAATGATGCTTATCAGATGTGGTGTCTTCCTCCCTGAGCCTTCCACCCAAAGTGTGGATGTGCCCCTTTCCTGGCATCCAAAGTCTGAGCTTTGCTCTTCTCTGTGCTGAGAAACTCCTTGGCATCCAGAGATTGCTGGTGTCAGCCTTTGTGTTCTGTGTATTTGCCTCTGTTCTGGTTTCCTCAAAAGGTCCCGTAGAAATAATGTGTGTCATGATGACATCCATACAGGTCTGCAGGTGAAATCACATATCAGCTGAGGTCAGGCTGTGTGATAAAACTGTATCACAGCCCTGTGACGTCTAGAGACATGTCTGTGGGTTTCTACCTTTCAAGAAATTGCTTGAAAATAAAGGAAAGTATTTTTACTGCCTTGTATGACATTGATTTGACCAGAAGTGTCTGCGTGCGAGGGAAGCAGGAGGGAGCTGTCAGGGTTGGGACAGGACCTCAGGGAGTGATCTTTGTGCTTTTCCAACTTCTTGTTCTGACCTTTGACTGCCTCCAGGTTAGCCTGCCTGCAGCTGATTGGGGGTTATGGATAAAACAGAGTGCTCTTACCCTCTGAGCTGCCTTGAGAGTCTTGCCTTGATAAAGGCAGTAAGTCCTGAATGACCCAGAGCAGTAAGTGAAAGCCCTGTAAAATGGGCAAATACTTAGCAAAGGAGATCACAGCCTAAAAGAAAGAAGGTAGGTCCATGAAGCACATTGGAATTTTTATTCCTTGTGTCATGTTTGCTCCTGTCCCCAGGGAAGAAGTCAGAGTTTCATTGTGCACTTGCATCCTGGGAATGTCCCTCTGGGCTCTCCTGTTGCCGCAGATGATGAATCTGAATTAACAGATGTGTTTTTCTTCTTGCTTCTCTCTGAAGACACTGTCTCCAGCAAGCTGCAGAACAACAATGTCTACACCATTGCCAAGAGGAACGTGGAGGGCCAGGACATGCTCTACCAGTCTCTGAAGCTCACCAATGGCATCTGGATCTTGGCTGAGCTTCGCATCCAGCCGGGGAACCCGAACTACACGGTGAGGTGTCGGACCGTGGAGGGCACGTGGTGCAGGCTGGGATCCTGCTAACTCACCTCACATGCAGAGCAGCTTCTCCCCGCTCTGCCTAACGTGCTCATTTTGGGGGAGATCCTGTTAATTTGCCTGGGGGGGGTTAGGAGTGCCCACTGAACGGGGGAAGAAGTGAGGAACATCAGAATTCCGCTGCTGTGTTACCAGTGAGCTGGGACAGTGCCCGCTCAGCAATGAGCAGTTACTTGCCAAGGTTACCTGGAGATAAAGCCAAGAGATATTAGCAAGAAAGCATAGCCAGGATGCCCTTCCCCCTCTCACTGATGAGGGGTGATTTATGCCCTGCAGGGGAGACTGGCTGGATGTCAGAGCCTCTTTGGCCTCGTGCTGGCATCAGCCTGAGGCTGGTGGGAGGGATGTTCCCTGTCCTGCCTCGTGCACCCCTGTAACTGTTCTCTTTGACTTTGCTCCCTTTCTGAGGGCCTGTGTGTCTGAGTGTCCTGGTATTAGAGGATTTATCTCCCGTTGGAAGCTGTGCCAGGAGCTTCAAGAAAAACCTCTGGTCACCCACGGGGTGAAAGCAAGAGTTGGAAGGTGATTTAAAGTGTTTGCACAAAGATTGATGGCACAAGCCTGGTCTCAACCTGATCTTTGCTTTAGAGAGGGGTGACAGCCAAGTTTGTGTCCATCAGGACTGAGCAGCAGATCATTAGAAGCCCTTGGGTTTAGTGCTGGGATTTACAGCATGAGGACGAGCAGGTCCCTTGTCTCAGTTTGGGGCCATGTCCCCTTCCTCCATGCCTGCTGGGGCACCTGCATTTGTTAAGGAATTTGGGAACCCCTCAGTGGGAGTTTGCATTCGTGTACCTCTGAAAAGGCAGTTTGGGGTTGGTGATGGCGAAAGCAGTACCAGGGGAAGTATTCTCTGTGACTGTCATCATCCACATCCGTGGGCTGTCCAACCCATGCTGTAGGTCAGACATTTCCAGCTGCTTCGTGGACACTGGAAGCTCCTGCCTCCCTTTGCACCTCCACTAACCTCTCCTCTCCTCTCCACAGCTCTCCCTGAAATGCCGAGCTCCCGAAGTGTCCCAGTACATCTACCAGGCCTACGATGCCATCTTGAAAAACTAACAGGAGATCAGCCTGTGCCTCACCCTGCGGAAGGAGGGGGGGGAAAAAGGGGTCCCCAAATCCTCCTTCACCGCTAGCGCGGGGGGAAAAGCACTCGTAACTGGAAGCAGCTGTATTCATGTGTAGGATTTCAGTCAAAGGCACTGATTAAACAAGGTAGCAATTAGTATCCACGTGCTAACGATGATAGGGAACAAACCCCTTTGGTATTTTTAGCGTCCATGGAGTTTGTAACCACTGCTTCGACTACTCCCATGTCCCCCTCGCCCCCCACTCATCCGTTCTCGTGGGCTTCTCCATTTTGTGCCAATGTTCAGTGTTTTCTAAATGGCTTTAGGTGTAGTTTCGATTTTGTAAAATACCGCTCATTGGGGAAAAAAAACACAAAACAAAACAAAAAAAAAACCAAGCAAAAACCACACGTCTGCTCATTAAAACAAGGCAAAAGTGTCGAAAACATAACACTGCACTTTATTTTATATTTTTATACATTTTTTTTGAGTTTTTCTATTGTAATTGGCTCAAAGGGAAGGTGAATCCAAGGAAGCATTGGGAGCCCTGCAGGGACGCTGGGCTCTAGCAGGGTGAGCACGGCCTCGGGGAACCAGGAACAGAGCCATCAGTTCGGTCCCTAAAGAGGGGTTTTTATTACACTTGTGCTGGCAGACTCGGCACTGCTTTGATGGTGTGTTTTCACTCCAGCCATCTCCCTGGCTCATTAGCTGCTGATTTGAGGAGCGAGGCTGCTTTTGCGTGGGGAGGAGCTGCAGGCCTAGATCGGCGACAGCGGGTGGATGAAATGAAGGAAATGAGCCCGTTCTTAGATCAAAAGGCTCATGCCAGAGCTTCAGGTGTGGTCTCTGCATCCTCACCCATCTGCAGCCCCTCTTTTCCTGTTCTTTCCGTGCCTGCTGTGGCTGAACTGCCTTCTCGGCCGTCCCCCGAGCTGTGCCCCCCTCACCCGGCGCTGTGCTGGCCCCGGCAGTCCCCGAGGCTCCTGGTACATCCAGATGTGGCAGTGCCACTTCCCCGATGGGGCTGCCGGTGTC